TACCAGGGCCTTGCATCTCCACGACTTCATTCTCAATATATCTCAACACTGCATGCAAAACAGAATCATTGCTCTGCTCCGAGTGTGTCGATTTGTGTGTGTGTGTGTGTGAGTCTTTAACGGGAGCCTGCTCAGAAAGCTCCAAAATAAACCCGAAGGTCCTCAGAGGGCTACCACGAGCACCTGACTCAAAAAGAGCTGAGTGATTATTGATACAGAAAAGCGGCTTTGTAATATTAGTGTTTAAACTCATTTTAGGACAGAGGAATGGATCAGCCATTTGAGCCACTTAATCTGAATTTAAACGCGTTTCCATTTCCTGATCCCTTTAACGTGTTGTGTGTGTGGCAATAGGGTTTATCTGGGTTTCATTTTTCGGCTCTCAGTACGGTAATGTAAATAAGGAGTGGAGACACTTGTGGAGTGAGAGTGTAAACACACACACACAGTCAAAACAACACAAGGACACACTCACACAGAAGCAGGAAAAACAGTGGAGCACAGCAATGATTATGCACCAGATCTGCTTACACCATATTTCATCATTACTGTGGAGAAAAAACACTCGACTATTGATCTGCCTCACTGCTTCCTTTACTCTCTGCCTCACCCACTCTGTCTTTTGTTCCCGCTTTTACTTATCTCTCTCTTTGCTTCTCTCCCACTCGCGGACATGTGCAAACGTAACAAGACATTTTCTGAAGTGGATCCCAGTAGTAAACAAGAACACACACACACACACACACACACACACACACACACACACACACACACACACACACACACACACACACACACACACACACACACACACACACACACACACACACACACACACACACACACACACACACACACACACACACACACACACACACACACACACACACACACACACACACACACACACACACACACACACACACACACACACACACACACACACACACACACACACACACACACACACATGATTGCCCTGCAATATAGGGCGGCTTCCTGTGGACTTCTTCTTGAATGATTTCCCAGTGGAGGATTGACAGCGACCAGAACACCTTACGATATAATGCTTTCTATTCAGACCAAAACGATATTAAACTACCTCAAATGATACAGAGTAGGAAAAACTGCTGGAATATTTGTTTATTTGCTCAATTTTCCTAATTTAAGACAGTGATTTCAATGTTGTACAGCTGATCCGTGCAAAGACAACATTAAACATTGATGCTTTTTAGATGTTTACCGTTTTTTGTTTACGGTTTGAATTTTATTTAAAGCAAGCTATCAAATCAAATCTTGTTTTGGTGAATGCATCAGTAGGTACAAGGCGTTGGTCAGCTACATAAAGAGGTGAACATTATTAGCTTCACCCAAGGGTAACATTTACACTAAGGTCAGGGTGTTTTACTGCATGTTTGTAAGTGTTCATTCCTTGTAAACCTCTTCTAAAACTAGAGCTGAGATAATTCATCAATTCATATTGATCAGTCATCTCTGTTTCCAGTTTCTCAAATGAGAATATTTGCTGTTTTTTTGTTATATATTATTGTAAACCAAATACTTAGACTTTAGGGGGATTTGTGGTTTAACAAAACAAGACTTTTCAGTGACTGCCTTTGATGATTTCCATTTTTGAAAATGTGATACATTTATTAGGGCAAACGATTAATCAAGTAATCAAAAGAAATGGTCAGATTCATTCAAATAATGATGAGCAAAAGATAAAACAAAACAGACAATAAGGTATTATTCCAACCCATGTCTTTGGCATACTGCTTTACTATGAATAAGGCAAACATGCCCAAATAGAAGCTTTAAAGAAGAGGGGAAGAATTGATTGTCTTAAAACATTCCAAAATAAAACATGAGCTTATTTAAACGTAAATGATATTCAGTTCACTATAAAAAGAGTAAGCACATATTCACGTTTAAATAAATGACATTTAAGCATGTTTTGCTAAAAGAAATAACTAAATAGATTTACAATGGCTGCCTATTATTTATCTTATTGATTAACAACCAACTGTTTCAGCTCTCTGCACACGGGCATCACTTCCTCTCAGTGGGATACAATGATCAGATGCTGCTGTCCCATCCTTCCTTCCTCACACACCTAGAGGAGGTTTTACACAGTGTTACATCAACTTGAACCCTGCACAGTTTATAAGGACTCACACACAAACAAACACACACACATACTGGTAACACCGAGATGTTACACTCATTACTTATAGGACTTCCTCCTGAAGAGAGAGGCTTCAAGTCAGACTTTGTTGAAGGATGAAAAGGAATCAACTGCTAAGTGCAAAGTGTTGTAAGAGCCAACTGATAGGATCACTTCTCATTGCTACATCTTCATTCTACATCTTGCAAATGCAGCTAGGAACTCTCTCAAACACACACTGTTGTTAACCTTGGTGCACACACGGCCCCTTAAGCAACTAGACATCAGCGTCTTATAGGAGTGTTAAACCTCCTGCTCTCTCACACACACATGCACACAGCAAGGCAAAGAAACTAGCTGTGGTAAGTAACAAGTGAAAACGCCATCTGTCAAGCGAGAGCGCATTTGCTTCGCCTCAGCATTTTCAGGGGAATGCCTTGAAGACAAAAAGGTCCTTGTTCTCAATCTCTCCGCAAATCCCATCTCTCATTCTTCCTCCCTCTTCCTTCATCCCCCCTTGCTCTGCGCGCCATGCCGCTCCGCCACCATCAGCAAAGTTGCACACATAAGCATTGGTCAGCGTTCAATTACCGTGAACACCAGGGAAGGATGGGGAAAGTACTTGACAGAGAAATGCACTTCAAGCACTGATTAAATACTGATACCAAGTATAACAAAAGTTTAGCCCCTTGGTTGTGTGTGTGTGTGTGTGCATGAAATGAAAAAAAGGAAAAGGGGAAAAATGTGTGTGTGTGAGAAAGACATGGGGGGGTTGCTCTTCTCTTCAATACTGATACAACTGTTTCATCATTATGACCCTCTATTACAGTACTTGCCAACTTGCTTACTACATACTTTTGATACACTCCACAGAGTGCTGACTCTAACTAAAGCTGCTGAAATGGAGTCATTAGGGGGTGAAGTTTCTGTTTTTCTTGGGCCCACAGAGCTTCCCGATTACTCTTCAGTGTTTAAGAGTTGCAATGCTCATCGGTTGCTACGAGGCAGAAGATAATGGCCCATCTTCAAGAGATCAATCACAGGATATTCTGTTGCAGGGCATTAGAGTTCAATGAGGTGCTTTCTTTTTTTAGCCACAGTATGTGCAGTCAATGTACAACATTAACTCACATGGGATTGCCTTCAAGCTGGCATTTGTTTTTGTCCAAATGTATTTTTTGTATATATACAACACTAATTTTAGATTTGTATAATTTCCTTTAAAAGACAAGGGAGTTCACTGCAAGGACGGAAAGTATCTTTGTTTGACTGAAGAAATGTTTGAAATACCAAAAGTAAAAACTGGTTAATAAAGCATTTACATCATGTTGTACAAACTGTAAAGTCCACTGAGACAAATGTAACATTTGTGATATTGGGCTATATAAATAAACATTGATTGATTGTTTATCTGCAAATTATTTCTAGTTGCCTTATATCCACTTTGACTGTTAATGTGTTTGAACCCACTCAATAACCAAACCACACTGAAAAAGAACACATTTAGCACATTTTAAACAAATATTCCGCAGCCCACTCAGGCTGTAATTATCCCATTAACACGTCAACATCCTCCATGACCGGGCCTATTTATTTCACAGCCAACCCCCCAATATAAACCGAGCGCTTCCTTCCCTCGCGCCAGACCTTTGTCCGCCCGCGCGCCTGCCGCCGGTGCCATGTTGCCATGGCTCCCTCATGCCTCCGCTCAGCTCGCTCAAACGTTGAGAAATCAACGTTGTGATGAATCAGCATCTCTGTCGCGAGCTCAGCCGGTGTACAACCGGTCACGCCAGGAGACAGACCGACAGCACAAGACACGTAAACGTGTAAAATATGATGTTAATGGAGACATGAGCAGCAGGCCTGTCGTGTAGAGCAGCGTCTGACACAAAGCAAATGTCAAAACAGTCTCTGGAGCAGCGCTCTCACTAGCGGCTACACCGTGTAGCTAACCTCCGGACGACTGACAGCTATAAATACGATGACAGCAGCCGGGTGTCTATTGTTGTCTTACACATTTCACTTCTGTCGCTAACTTAGCAAAGCAGAGTCAACCAAAACGTAACCGCGAGAGTCCGTAAAACCGCTCGCAAAACAAACTATAAACCTAGCACACTTACATTTAAAATGACTGCACATCTTACCTGCAAAGAAGCAACAGACGTGTCCGCGTGTGAAGCGACAGCAGCGGGAGGCTCCAGCTTGTGTCCGCCGCTGCCGCTTCAGCACCCCGAAGAGAGGACAGTCGCACAATTAAGCTAATGTGTGGTTTTCGAGGGTTCACGTTGCTTAAATTGTAACACTACATTAAGATGTTTTCCCCTAGTTCTATATTTGTTCACCTTTCTAAATATGTTTGGCATTTAGTAGACACAAAACAAGGGAATCCCCAGACGTACCATCGGAACAGAAAAAGCCGAGCTGCTCTCGAACTCCCCGCAGGAGCTCTAATTCCGACACATGGCTCCTGTTTAAGCTTGACAGCCGCACGCAGCTTACACCCTTTGTCTGTGTTATTGTGATATCGCCGGTCGGTGGTGTCGCCGGGGCTGTTCACTCGACCCGACCCGGTCGCGGAACAGCATCTGCGGGTCTGGATGACGCCTGGGTCGTGATGATTCAGCACTACCAGACCGCTGCTGCCCTTTAAACAGCAGCTGCTGTGAGATCGGCTGAGTGAAGCGGCAGCGGCGAACACCGGGACGAGCGGCAACACAAGCGCAGCGAACACCGTACGGCAGCTGCGGCGGCCGTGCACACTCAGCAAAACAACACCGCTATATTCAGCACTTTTTAAGGAATTTCACTTTTGATTTCGACAAAGCTGACTCACCAGAAGTCAAACCGGCGCCTTTCGCCCACCGCACCTTCGAGGGTTGGGGTTCGCCGATGGCTCGTCGACCCGGTGTGGAGAGAGACAGTTGGAGAAATGTTTTTTCCGCTCACGCCTTCTCGCAGGTCTACATATATCCACTCCTTCCTCGCTTGTTTTAGTCTATGGTCGGAGGCGCCAGACGTCAAATGATGTTTGGATCACATGGTTTCATTCATGAAGGATCTACGCAACCCGCATTTAAAGAGACATGAGACACTACTACTGTGTGATGGACTGTTGTTAGTGTGGAAAGAGTGACACGACAGCCCCACCTCTGTGCATATTTCTAAACTTAGAGCTAACATTTGAAGTAGCCTATACGAGTGGCTCCAATAGTAGTCTACAGAGTCATGGAATAAAAACAAACAAATGGTGTCACTTTTTTAAATTAAAAAGGTGTTGAGACTTTTTCAATTGTTTGAGTTACAAATAAAACCAGAGTTGAAGATAATGCTAAATTTTACCGGACATTTTTATAAATAAAAAAAGCTATCTAATCGGATGAAATGCCACAACTGAAATAAGCTACATCGAGGCATATCAACACAGAGATATAGTATTAGTATTGAGAAATATATCATATTTACATGTTTTTTAGCCGATGACAGGCCACTAGTTAAAGACAACATCTAACTGGCATGGAGATTCACATCACTGCATACTTCCTTTAAAAAAAGTGATGAGTTAAGTAAACACAGTAGAACACATCTTTTACCTTCACAAAAAATGTACAATGGATGTTTACCATTTCTGTTGAGGCCACGATGTAAACAAACCCACGTTTCCGATCTCTCTTTGGTTCAGAAGCAAACTGAAAACCTCTATAAAGTGATCATACTTCATTTACAGTGCAATTTAAAAGCAACACTATTAGGACTGATGTAAATCAGTTTATCAATAAGCCATTTCCATTTCTGAGGAACTAATGACTTTCAATGCAAGACAAGAAAGCACTCAACCAATATCAGCAGCCTATTTCTGGATAATGCATCTGAGTTTATGAAAAACAGCCTGTATTACATATTCAATGACCGGTATCTCCACTCTGTCTTTGCAGAGTAAATCTCCGCCAGGATGCTAAAACTGATGCTACATTTTCAAATACAACTCGCATTTGGTGGGGGGGTTTTCTCCCAAAAAGCCTATATTTAGCCCAAATGTAATCATATTACGGTGAGCTTGGAATTTGGAAATTCCAGGATTAGCAGTTTTAATTGAAAAGAGCCCCAGTCTTTTAAAAGCAAGGTTCAGATTGTAAATACAAATATTATACAAATAATACCCAATTGTAAATAAAGCAGTGAGAGTTAATTTACCTGCTTACAAATTAATGCATCAATCATTCTGCATAATGAGCATTTTCAACCTTCACAGAAGCCTCATCCACTGAAAGACTCTTGATGTGTCAAACGGTCACAAACACATAGGCATTGGTGGAAAGTAATATGTACATTTTTGAAGTACTTTTGAGTATATTGGGCACTAAATTATGGTTGTACTTATTGTAATTTTATTCAACAGCTATCCAAGTAATAATATATATTAATTTTATAAAACATGACATGCCCAACGAATATGTGAAAAGTGGATCACTGACTAGATGCAACAATAAAATGCTTTCTTTTATGTAAATAGATCAGTGATAATAATCCAATATTATTTAAAAATAGGTTATCAATAAGATATTATTACAAGTATAGCATACTTATATTGATGCATTCACCCGAGTAAAAGATCTGAATATGAGAAGTACAATATTGACCCAGTCACTCCTACACAGTGCATGTCTGACTCCTGGATAAGCATTAGGACCGTACTGTGTGTCCTCTGTGATGTCGCCCACACTGCACGTTGGCATGAGGGGAAGCCCATACTGCACATTCACCCACTGTGTGGTAACGTTCAGAGCTTCCTCTTTCTGCGACCGTTTCACCTGACAGCTGCACAAAGCTGATACTTTATCAGCCCGGAAATCTTATCTGTGCTTGGGTCACAAACACAACTGGTGCACAAAAAGGTGAAACAGAGAAATGCTGAACACTAAGTGCATACTAAAATCTCTTTCTTAGCCTGTCTCTTAGTTTTTGAGGGGATTAGTGGAGATGGAGGAGAAAAAAAAACATTCCTTCCATCTTTTCACTCATCTTGCTTTTTGGCGCTCCCCCTGGCCTCGATGCGATATCCAAACAACCATGTTACTGCAAAGGTCAGTGAGTACATTGATTGAATGGAGATGACAGGTAGCATCTGGTCTACCTGTGGCTAGAAACCCCATGGTGGGTTGGAGCACACACACATACAGACACACACATACAGTCCATGCTTTCCACTCAGGATTATCAGCCATTGAACTGCCATCTTAGACCCTCTGCCGGTGTCGGGATGATTGACACGGAGCACATCCTCTTCACCTAAGGCGGGGGAGAAGTGTTCAAAGCTGCCGGACCGACAGAAGGTAACAGAAGTCTAATAATGAGAGGCAAATGGAAGTCTCTCCAGGAATGGCTAATCTTAACGGACAGAGGCAGGAGCATGCAGGGAATAACCTTTCACAATAAAAGGGGGATTACCGAGACACTTCAGTGGCGGAGGAAAAACCTTTGCACGCACAAATAAACATCCCGAGTGCGGTAAGCGCATGCGGGGCGCAATTTAATCAAAGGACACTGGTGTGTGTAGTTAAAGGAAAATAAACTTAATCCTACAACAGCTACAAATTGTTCAATTATAATGAGGACAAGGCTCTCCACAAGCCTCCACTTTTCTTCCATCATTTTAACTCCGCTATTATGCACCTGTGTGCTGCCTGAATAGACCAACAGGCCTATCTCCTTCAGACACAAAGTGGCATCTGTTAATCCTAAATGTAGCAGCCCGGAGCGAAGGAAAGAGCCCAAATATCTGAACGGGAGTTTTCTCAGACTTCCAAGTCGGCTGCAGCAACTGATATCTCCCAACATACCCAAATGTAACTACACTCCAGTCCTCTACTGTCACACCAATTCAAACTCATGATATTAGGTCTCTAAGGTCGCAGCATCCACTGGTGGAGAGTCACATGTATTCATGTACTGTACTTAAGCACTTTAATAATGTTTTTCTGATTAGGATTATAAACAGTGGTTCCAAATGTTTCTGACTTGTGACATTTTAGTTAGGATTCTTCTTTAGTGGAACTGCTAAAGCTGCTTAAACTTCTAGAATAAACCCTTTGAAGTGCAAAACATTTACATTAAAACTGTTCTACTCTACTGTTCAATCTACACCGCTCCGATTTATATAGTGACCCTTTGGGAGCGGTCCGACTCCTAGATTCAGAACCACTGGGCTAAACTACAAAACTGTAAATAAACAAGTTGAAATTCTAACTCAAGCACGAACATTTTCAAATGCTGTGGGTCCCAGGGTCGTTACTTAGGGATTTTCCCTCCAAAACACACTTGATTGGATTCCTTTGTTTACTTCACTAACATATCTGTTTCCTATTGGCTAGCGCTGCAACACGTTGTAATTGCTAGGCTAAAGGGCAGGACATCTCTAATGAATCACCAATCCCCACAGAGCCGGCCACCTAACCAATCACAGCAGACTGGGCTCTGGTTTCAGACAGAGGGTGAAAAGAGGAGCTGCAGCACAGGCAGTGTGAGAAAAATAGCTTTTTGAACATTAAAGCATGGAGGCATGTCACGGTAGAGGCACAACATACAAATATGAAACCAGAAATCATATTAGGTCCCTTTTAAGTACAAGATTTTTGTAATGGTATAATCTTAAATACTTTTATTTAAGTAAAAATTCTTCTTCCATCAACAACAGCCCCCCTCGAACTTGTTAAATAGCAATTATGTGAACGCCAATAAAAGAGAAGAACTGCAGAGTAATCCATGATCCCACTCACTGGTCAAATGTCCTGCTCACAAGCTTCTAAAATTGGACTGTGTTCACAATCACAATGCATCTACAGGCCAGTAAGAAGAAACAACAACATTTGACCCTTTGTTTTTTACAGCATGTAGAGGAAGCTGATTGGGAACAGCCTCAGGAGGCAGTGACGCATGGAGGAGAGAAAATACGCTTGTTGGAGAGTGGGTGTAACTGCGCAGTACAGCTAATGCCATTTACCGATAAGTGAGGTGGTGTGGTTATATTTGATGTTGGTCCTGGGTCAATTTGAAGTCGTTCTCCACCAACAACTAAGGTAACCTGATCTTTGTAGACAAGTACAATTGACCGTCAATTGGGTCATTTGGCGCCATCTGCAGGCCAGGGTGGATCTTAATGACTCACAGATGAGAGTCTGGGCTGAGGGAAACCTCGAAACTAAAACAAACAGACAATAAGATGGGGAAAACAAATGAGAAAATAGGAGCCACACAACTGAGTCGAGTCAGTGCAGAGTATGGAGTCAACCCAGACTGATAATAAATACAGAACAAACTAACTTTGGAAGACAAATATTCAATTCTGCTTATTTAATATTGACACCAACTTTCTGGTTGATATGTCAAACAAAGAAAAATACATAACATGTAAAATAATGGGGATCAAATAACAAAATTAGGACGGACTAAATCTATATGAATACATCTTCATATCATCTTGATTCTTTGTGTAGATGCATTTCTTTTAGGACTTTCCCTTTACAAGAGAACATGTGGCTGTATATTAGAAAACATCAGGAGGTTCAAGATAACAGTTCACGTTGGGGTTAAGACCCACAATTTCCATAACAAACAGGAAACAAAGGGACTTGAGAAAGATGAGGACATCAGAGAAGATTTAAAGCTTGGAATGACCTTTATATGCAAGAGAAACATATGTTATGGGTCCCAGGGTCCAAGGCACCAAGTTCCTAATGTGCTAGAAAGGTTGTTGTAACAAGGAAGTTATTTCATCAGTGAAGTCCGTAGTTTTTGTATATGAAAATCAAAACAAGCAAAAGAGAAAATCCATACTCAGTCTTTGTTAACAGCATAATACTGTTGTTGGTATATAAAAAAACAGGGAACAGAATGATTGACATTGTGGCTTCATCTCTGTTTAAAAGGACATTAAAGACAAACATTAAGAGCTTGATGGTATCCCAGCAACCATCTGTGCAGCAGCATCCCATGATGGCCCACTGGGTCATTACCGTTAAACACATACCGACAGCAGATTGTAAATGCACTTTTGCTCTTCGGTGTGCATTTGGATGCGTGTGCCATTAACCCTGCATCACAACATAAGGCGATAATCGTGGGCAACACACCCAGAATGCACCTGTGCTTGTTTGTAGTGTAACAGGTCTTCAGTCTTTATGTAACTCAAGTATGTATACATATTTTGCCATTTTTGTAAAGTAATTTGGATGTGTGTGACCAGTCCACCTGCCTGAGAGGCAATGTGTGTATTAACCTGTGAGATGTGTGTGTGAGCCTGCCTCTGTGTTCTCAGTTCTTCTTCTTGACGTTGGGGCCGCGGTTGTTGAACAGGTTGAGCCCCGTTCTGCCGTTAGCCGCTCCGCTGACCGTGACTCCGGGCTGCTGCAGCACCTTGTCCAGGGTGGTTTTCTTTATGGCTGCCGGGGAGATGCGCTCCTGGTCGGCCAGGTACTGCAGCTCCCTGTGAGGGGAAGGGATAATCTAGCGTTTAGATAGAGGTCCCTCTGTGTGTGTGTGTGTGTGTGTGTGTGTGTGTGTGTGTGTGTGTGTGTGTGTGTGTGTGTGTGTGTGTGAGAGATATGGTGGAGACAGCAACAGACATTTAAGTTATATGCTATCATCATCTCAATGTTGGAGTTAGGAACCCAAGTGGGGTTGCTTTCCATACCAACAGGGTCAAGAGACAATTGAATGCCCAAAATATTAAAATGTTTTTTGTCAGAAAGAATCGTTTTACGAATGCATGATATTAGATTTAGAATAATATTCAATTTGTTGATATACGCACATATTGTTTTTCCCCTTAATGCAGAGAATAAAGTCTATCCTGTAGTGGACATCATATTATGCCTTCTCCAAATCAGCACATATGCTTTGCATTTCCGTTTCTTGAAATCAATATTTTTTTTACTCAATTAAAAAATAGTAGCCCATTAGGTTGCTATGCAAAGTCTCAATGTAAATAAAAGAACATGTGCCTAAGTGCACACTATTAGAAATGTAAAGACTGAAGTATGAGGTAAAAATATTTTAACAAACAAAACTGAACCTCTAATATGCAGCGCAATTGTTGCGCCTGCTTAGTTGATTGTTTGCATTGCATGCGCACAATTATAACGCATCTAAGTGGCCCCTTAATCATCCCTATATAAATCCTTTGTAGCAGCAAACCATTTCCTTGAAGTTGTTCACAAAAAGAAAGCATTTTTGTGCCAAAAGTGTCAGGGATTGATCATTGAGTTGCAAGAAAGTTCATCGTCATCATTAATGCAGCATTTATCCAGCCAATTCCCAAAGCTAGTTTTCGAGCTTCTAACATTTTGGTTACCTGAATAACTTTCGCTCTAGGATGCAACAATGGACAATTGTCATAATTCTGACATTTTATAGAAAAATAAATGAACCAAAGAACATAAAGCAGATTAATAAGTAACAGAAGTAATCCGCAGCATCTTGAGAACTGTAATAGCTGTGAGAACCTTGCTGATGGTGTAGATATGGGATGTGCAGGTGCGACTTTCTCACCGCGTCCTGATGCATGACGCCTCCACAGCGTTGATCAGGAGGCTGCGGAAGCCGCCGCTCTCCATGACGTGCAGGGCGTGGATGGTGGCGCCCCCTGGTGAGCACACGTTGTCCTTCAGCTGGCCGGGGTGCTGCTCCGAGTCCAGCAGCATCTTAGCTGCTCCCTGAGGAGAAACAGGAACACGGCAAATCATTTAATAAAGTGGAAGGAGTTGAGGAGTTATCTGAAGGACACTGTATTGTTTACTTCTTCAAAGCCATTGGGTGCTGATACATGGTGCAGCCTCAGCAACAGAAGTGCTTATGTCATCATTATACTGCGAGTGGTGCACATTTGCATTGTAATGTCGAATCAATTGCTAATAAAGTTCATCCGAGAAATGAAATCTAATCTGATGTACAGACAGGGTTTTTTTTGTGAAAAGATTTTCCAGGCAGCTTCTTGGCTAACACTAGGCGAGCATGACTCTGCAACTACAGCTGAGTGTCTCCTGCAGGCAAACGTGCAAACCAGAGGAGACACCCAGACCAAGAGTATTAACTGTCTACAACAAATAATAACATCTGAAAGCTTTGTGCTGAAAAAAAGGCAACACAAAGAACATTGCTCATAAAAATGCAGAAGGAAGCTGAACACACTGAGCCGGTGAAGAAAGTCTGCAGCTGCTGCCACGACAACAATGACAGCTGGTGAGGTGAATATTTCAAGTCATATAGTTTGACAAATGGAGAAATGTGATCAAAATAGGGCTGCCTTTAAAGAGTTTAAGCAATATCTTTTAAATTAATCATTGTGAAAAAAGCAGCAATAAGAAATCACCTGCAAATAAATTGATCTATACTTTTCAGTCCATATACCAAGCATGGTTTAATAATTTCAGTTTAGTTTCAGTGCATTGTTAGTGAATTAAATCAGCAATTTTAAGACATTAGAAGTTTTTGTTGTGTTAAATAAAGCAGCCACTGAATCCTTCCATGTATTATGCCTCCAAATATGCAGACGGCCAGTAGATCAGGGAGACTTGACAATGGGAATAGGCACAGCAAAAGAGACAACTAAACCCAACTGACCAATAGGGCCTGAGCTCCCAGTCTGACAGCCAGTCTTCTTGGCAGACCCATCTTCACGCCTCCATCTGCAAGAGCATCCAGTGCAGTGAACGCCTGTTGACACACACAAACACACACACATTTAGGTTTGTTTTCCTTTTAAGCAGCAAGTCCTTTACATCTTTGAACAGACTAAATAAAGATGTCGGAATAATCAACAATTTAGTCTTTGTTTCTTATTTAGCTTCAAGCCTTTAACACTGACGTCCATTTCATTCTAATCTTACTTTGTCTTCACAGCTAGGATGGGACAAATTGTGCTCAACACTTTTGAGCCAAGATTTAAAAAAGCTCAAGCTCTATGCAGACAGGAGATAAACCCCACACACACAATCATTCCTTACTCTCTCAACACTTACACACCTTTGCCTGCTTAGTAGGCATTAGATGTGACAGTTTTATAAAACAGGAACAATAAAAACACACATTTGGCCAGACAAGGAATTATCACAGCTGGGGTAGCATATTTATTTCCTAAAAAAACCCTTTCTTGTAAAAATAAATCATGTATTGGGAACACCTACCACTGCCTTATCCTCTGTATATATCTCAAAACATGTAGAAAAAACGAGACCACTAAACAACAGAGGATTTAATACCCAGGATTGTTTTGATTGTTGTTATTTCCTACATATTAGCCCACCCAGTGACTTTCTTTTACTAGGATTATAGGTGTATGCATCACACCTCACATACACTTTTCTTTGAAGCTACAAGGGTCATAAAACCAAGGATATTGTATTTTGTAGAGACAGATATTGGGTTATATAAATATGTTTTATTCATTTGAAACATCCCTTTGTGACAAACATACAGCTCTGAGGTTACTTACGTAGGCTGGTCCACTGCCACTGAGCCCGGTGACAGCGTCAATGAGGTCTTCCTCCACCTCCGTGCAGAATCCAACACTCGACATCAGCTGCTCCAGTAACTTGCCGTCCTCCAGCTGAAAGAAGGCGGACAACATGATGGTGATGATTTTGTAGGTATAGTTCTACCTTTCTGTGCATCTTGTAAGGCAAGGCACATTTATTTATATAGCACATTTCAACACAAGGCAATTCAAAGTGCTTTACAAAAATGAAAGACATTAATAACATTTAAGAAACATATTATGAAATGATATCTAAAAACACTCATTTAAAAGCAATGATATAAAATGGCATTTAAAAACCCTCATTTAAAAGCAAAGATACATGAACCACAGTTACAGTGCAGTGTGAGATACACACATCTGAACGAACCCCCCTTTGGAAAATTATAATCTGACCCCATGGTACCTTTTAGTTTTCGCCGAAACTATTCCTTTTTTAAATTTTTTAAATGCACATAGTTAAATTTGACCTTGTCTTTTTAGGACTTTTTTGGTATCCTCCGTGAACCAGGGTCTTGAAACCAAAACGGATTCCTGTACCCCATGGTACCTTTTTAGTTTTCGCCAAAACTATTCCTATTTTCTTTAAATGCACATTAGTTAAGTTTAAGTTGTCTTTTCTTGGACTTTTTTGGTGTCCTCCGCGAACCAGGGTCTTGAAACCAAAACGGCACACGTAGGGGACTTTAACCACCTACGAGGGGACTTTAACCCCAATAATGACTTTAACTACCTTTGGGTAAAGTGCTTTACAAAAATGAAAAGACATTAAGAAAATGGCATTAAAAAGCAAAGATAATAAAAGTTACAGTGCAGTTTAAGATGTGAATATATCAATTAAAAGCAGCGGCAAAAAGAAAAGTCTTCAGCCTGGATTTAAAAGTAGTACGAGTTGCAGCGGACCTGCAGGTTTCTGGGAGTTTGTTCCAGATATTTGGAGCATAATAACTGAACGCTGCTTCTCCATGTTTAGTTCTGACTCTGGGGACAGAAAGCTGACCAGTCCCTGAAGACCTGAGAGTTCTGGATGGTTCATAATTTAGCAGTAGATCAGACATGTATTTTGGGCCTAAACCATTCAAAGCTTTATAAACCAGCAACAATATTTTGAAATCAATTCTTTGACACACAGGAAGCCAGTGTAAAGACTTCAGAACAGGACTGATGTGATCCACTTTCTTATTGTTAGTGAGGACTCGAGCAGCAGCGTTCTGAATTAGCTGCAGCTTTCTAATGGATTTTTTAGTGAGACCTGCAAAGACACCATTGCAGTAGTCAAGTCTACTGAAGATAAAAGCATGGACAAGTTTTTCCAAATCCTGCTGTGACATTAATCTTTTAATCCTATAAATATTCTTTAGGTGATAGTAGGCTGATTTAGTAATTGTTTTAATGTGACTGTTGAAACTCAGGTCAGAGTCCATGACTACACCTAGATTTCTGGCTTTATCTGTTGTTTTGAACATTGCAGACTGAAGCTCAGCGCTAACTTTTATACGTTCTGCCTTGGCTCTAAAAACCATTACCTCAGTTTTATCTTTGTTTAATTGGAGAAAGTTCTGACACATCCAGTCATTGATTTGTTCAATGCACTCACTCAGTGTTTGAATTGGAGAATAGTCTCCTGGTGAAATTGTTATGTAAATTTGGGTGTCATCCGCATAGCTATGGTAACTTATTTTGTTGTTTTTCATTATCTGAGCCAGTGGTAGCATCTAGATTATTCTTTTTTTAAGAGCGGTTTAATGACTGCAGTTTTCAGGGCCTGTGGAAAAACCCCTGAGTGAAGAGATTTGTTTACTCTATGAAGTAGATCTGAGGCCATGCAATGAAAAACATTTTTGAAAAATCCTGTTGGAATAATATCAAGGCAGCAGGAGGAGGATTTCAGAAGTTGTATAATGTCCTCTAGGTTTTTATCATTAATCTGATGGAATTGTGTCATGGTGTTTGAATTGATTTTAAGTGGACACAGGGACAAAACATTTGCTGTACCTGATGCAGAGGCACTGACTGCTTGTTTGATTTTCTGAATTTTGTCAGTGAAGAAGGAGGCAAAATCATTGCACGCCCTGGTGGATAGAAATTCAGAGGCTACTGACACTGGGGGGTTAGTTAGTCTGTCGACGGTAGCAAACAAGGCACGTGCGTTGTTTTTGGTTTTGGCAATGATGTCAGAGAAGAAAGACTGTCGTGCAATTTTCAATTCCAAATTATAAAGGCCAAGTCTCTCTTTATAGATTTCAAAATGAACCTGGAGATTTGTTTTTCGCCACCTACGTTCAGCTTTTCGACACACTCTTTTTTCTGTTTTCACGGTCATGGCCTTTCTCCATGGAGATATTTTCTTGCCAGTCACTTCCTTTACCTTAGTTGGAGCAATGGCATCTATAATCTTTTGAATTTTTGAATTAAAATGATCTACTAGCTCATTTACTGAGATGTTAGCAGGGGCAAGTGTGGAAGAAAAATTCTGAGTAAACATTTCCCTAGTATTTTCAGTTAAATATCGCTTTGTGGTTACCTCTTTCTGAACATTTTTGTGAACAGAAATAGAGCTCTCAAAGAAAACACAGGAATGATCAGAGAGTGCAACATCAGTCACCACAACCTTAGAGATATTCAGACCCTTTGAGATAATTAAGTCCAGAGTGTGCCCCTTATTGTGCGTGGGCTCCGTCACATGCTGAGTCAGTCCATAGTTATCAATAACACAAAACAGTTCTTTAGCCCCTCTGTCCTGGGGGTTGTCAACATGGATGTTAAAATCACCAACAACGACTAGACGGTCAAAGTCAATACACACTATAGACAGCAGTTCAGTAAAGTCATGAAAAAAGCTTGCACAGTATTTGGGTGGTCTATAGATATTTAGGAACAGAGCTCGAGAGGAGCATTTCAGCTGAAGGGCCACATATTCAAAAGAAGCAAAGTTCCCATAAGATGTCTTCCTGCATTGAAGGGAATCATTGAACAAAATAGCAACTCCACCCCCTTTCTTATGCATTCTTTCCTGACTCATAAAGCTAAAGTTGGGAGGTGTTGATTCGATAAGAACAGCTGCACTGTTATTTTGTTCAATCCAAGTTTCCGTTAAAAACATAAAATCGATTTTGATTGATTAAAAAATGTTTTCCTGCCAAAGACCTGACATTTAATAAAGCTAGTTTAAGTTTGTTAAATACACTATCAGTCAGATTTTTTGTGACAAGCTGTGGCTGACATGGAATCACTTCTAAATTTGATAAACTCACACAAACGTTTGAGTGCATCCTGTTTCTAAGCTGATTCACCGCTCTTAATCTATTACCTATCAACACAGATATCGGCAAAGCTACTGGCAGGCAGGGCCCCGGCATGTCCTGGAAAGAGTTGAGAGTGCCCTATGCCCTTGAGCCTGGACCCAGCACATATCAGTAAGAGTTTGCTGCGTTTTGTACACACACACATTGTAACACCTTTATCTGGAGATTCAAGATCTTTAAATGATATAATCCCTCGTTTTTACCTCTGCATGAGTCCCAGTGGCATACACTGTAGCTCCCTCTCTCACCACCACTGGGGTGTTGGTCATACACCTCATGACTTTAGGAGCGGCACGGTACTGAAGCAGCTTCTGTGAAATTAAAAGAAAGGAAACAAATGATAGGTGTGTGGAAGAGTCAGGAAGTAAAACAACTTTCTTTCAGATGTTTGGAAGCATGCCAGAACAGCTTGATTGAACCTAATTGGAGATTGAGAGAGGGAAAACAAATTATAAGATAACGCAATAATAAACAACAATGATAAAACAATACAACAAAGAGCACACTACTAAGTAATCTAGTGAAACTTCTAAAACACACAAACAGCAGATTTTTTACGGAGCAGGAATGATGGTGACAGATGCCGACTGACCTTCTCTATGGAGCTGATGGTGACGCCTGCTGCACACGACACTATGAGATGACGGTCCTCGATGTCTGGCCCAATCTCATCGAGAACGAAGGGGATGATGTGGGGTTTCACAGCCAGGAAGAGCACATCACTCTTACTGACGGCCTCTTTGTTGCTAGTTGTCATATTCACCCCCATTTTCTGCAGATGAAGAAGAAAAATAAGACAGTGATGGTGATCAGAGAGGGTTATAAGAAGTATGAGGGGAAACAAAATGTCCACAAAAGCACGCTCGAACCAATATTTCCATTTCCATTTTCAGACACCCCACAGACACACAACTAAGGAGAGATGTATTCTCACCCTTAGTCCCGCTACAGTGGGCAGCTCTAAGTCTGGGGAGCTGGCTGTGATCCTATGAGTGGCAATCACACCTTAGGATGGAGACAGGAGGAAGTGAGCGTTGAGGATGTACAGTGAGATGGGAAATAACACATTTAAGATAAACCCTTACATTTCATATGGTACAGAAGAAAAAAAACTGATGATTTGCTATTCAGAGTGAATACATACAACTAAAGAAAAGTGGCAATCCAAAGAATGTGTGTATAGCAGGGGTGTCCAAACTACGGCCCGGGAGCCAAATGTGGTACGCGGAACATTTTGAATCGGCCCTCTGCAAATTCAAAAAGTATAATTGAATACGGCCCACAAATGAAACTTGAGCTTTTCTTGTATTGTACTTATTAAATATATCTGTAAACATATATTACACAGTAGTGTTCAACAATTTACAATAAATTCAGTCAACTACATTTGAAAATATGTTCTAGCAAATCTAAGTTGATAAGAAAAAAGCCCAATAACTTATATACATAATAAACTTGAAATATACCCTTCCTATTTCCTCTTATGATAATCAATCTGGGACTCCTGTTGTAAGGGGTGAGCTGCTAACAAATTAAATGAAACTCTCTGGAGAGCTGGGATGTAGGCTGTTTATTTTTTTCTTAAAGCAGATTCAAGTATCAAGCATAATTTACCTACTTTTGATTGATTTTGCTAGCTAATAACTTAACTTATGAGGTAATATACCTCACCTCTAGTGAGCGGCCATATTTTTCTGTATGTGGCCCTCGGTGAAAAAAGTGTGGACACCCCTGGTGTATAGTGTTGTTGTGACTGCAACTTTATTCAAGCCAGAATTAGTTTACATGGGTGTAGGATTTGACTATGTGAATTAAGATTCAGTTAATACAGGCAAATATTGCACATTAAGGAAAGTGGCCTCACCTGCAGCTGAGAATCCTTTCACTAGTGCGTGAGCCAGCTGGCCCGCTCCAATGAACCCAACGCTCATCCTGTCAGATGATGTGGCGCCTTTGACCTGTCAAAACAGAAAGCTGATGCTGACTGCTATGCATTTCAATAAACATTGACCAATCCCCACCAAAATGGTAATATGCTTTTCAAATCTCTACTTTTGACTAATTGTGAATCCAGTTTTTTTTATCATTGAAAGCAAAGAGACATTCTTGTCTTGACTAGTGATGATGCAATCTGAGGGAAAATCCTGGAGCTGGTCCACAGACAGGGAATGATGAAACCCCTCTACTGACACCCTGGCAGCACCCATGGGAATGTCACTGAGATAAGGGCTTATGTACTGATTTACAGCTGTGTATTTGATATGTATTTTTTGACAGCCATTTAAAGATAATTTAAAAAATGCTTACAGAATATAAATACCCCAACCCAAACCCTCCAAATAAAACAAACAAGAACAATAACAAAATGATACCATATTACAGCAACATAATCACAGCTTTCTGATTATTTTATTTCCTGCTGCATTTAAATATAATATATACATTTCACCTGTAACAGTCTTATATTCGTAAACAAGCCGTTGATAACATTAGCTCTTTTGTTTATGCAGATGAAGGATGATAGCACTTCGTAGCTAGCTTACGACAGGCTAGCATGCCGGCTAGGTAAGCTAGTTATCACAGCTGAAATGAACGAGAAATAAGACACATTCATTTAAGAGGGACATATTTATCTTTACCTAAATGTTCCAGCTGCGGCTCCTGAGTTGACAGGTGTGAGTCAACGACGGGACGGTTGTGCCGCCGGCGATAGAAAACAAAACAAATACAACTTTTTGTGTCAACGTGGCTTTACTCTGTTCCAAAATGTGCTGCATATTTACAACGGACAGCGAGACGAGCCAATCAAGACAGAGACACGCTGACCTCCTGGCCAATGATAACTTAGATCTGGCATTTGGGCGGGGTTTGTAGTCCGTAACGCCTAGTTGCATCAGTTTTTTGGACAGTGATGCTCCCGGGAAAATGTGTACAGTATGTTATATTTGTATTGGCAAAAAGCCCAGTACTAGCACTAGCCTACTTAAAATGGAAATAATAATGTCAATCCCAATTTTTCAGAGCTAATAGAGAAACATTTAAATGTCATGTTGTGCAATTCGAAAACTGTCTTCAGTGTAGCCTACTATTATATGAGCCAACAAAAGCAGCAACCCCAGAGAGAATGTTTTGTATTTTTGCTTGAATTACTAACTCCATACTCCACCATTACACTACTTCTACATGTGAGACTTTTTCTTTTTTTTAAAAAACTATTACTGTAGATATTGTTATCTACCTGGTACTTTTGTAAATTGTAATTTGTGTAATTTCTATCTCTAATATTTTATGCATCCTGTGTGATTTTTTTGTATGTTTTGTTTGTTTATTTGACTGTACAGCACTTTGGTCTGGAGGTTTTGAAGTGCTTTATAAATAAAGCTGTATTGCATTATATTGTATTGTATCCCTCTTATCTATCTAATATTTTTGCCAAGTTGCCTCTTTATTTGAAATGTAACAATGTACATTTCCACTTTGGACTAATAAAGGTATCAACATATTTATATTCAGACTCATTAATAACTAAACATTAACAGCTCTAATGGCCTTACAAAAGATATCTTAGTTTTTATAGTGTTCTGCCTGAACCCAATTTAAATGTTTCTATGATTTTCTCCTAAAATACTGTATGTGTGCATAAAGATCCTACAGCTGATGTTGAGGGTTAATTATTTTGAATGGAGATGCACTGAGATTTGAAGATGACTCACAGACTCTCTTCAGGGTAACAGAAGAGGCTTGTGATATTTGAGGGACCTGCATTTGAATGAAGGTTTGTTATTCTAGTAGGAGACCAGTGCTTCTTCCTCTCCCTTTGGATTTGACAGAATGTGAAATAAAGCTGAAGTGGATGGCGAGTTCACTAATGAGCCACGGCATCCGAATCCAGTTATCCCTCGGTGGTTCACCAATGCATATTCTCAAAATAAAACATGAACTTGGCCTGTAACTGTCAGTTTGATGCTTAAATCTCCCCTGTGCACATTTTAATAGGCCTGCCCCTCCTGTCTGTCTGCCTGTGTCTTTCTCCCCCTGTTTCCCATGCCATACCATTCCATGCCAGACTAAATTTAAACTTCACAAGAGGTGCTGTACGTCTCCTCTGAGGGACCTCGTTCCATTTCATTTTCTCACAGTGTCGTTTGACAGGAATGCAGACTGAGGGATTGCATATGCCCCCGTCTATATTTAAAGCAGAATGCACGGCCCTCCACCAGTACCAGCTGTTAGGATACTCTTCCTCTACAGTCAGCTGGCAGAGTGATATCATTTCCTCAGTTTATTCTCTTCCGGTTAACATCCTAACACCTTCAAAAAGTCTTTCATTTTGGATTTCTGATTTCACACATGAAGTGCAGTTTGATGGTCACAACTCGCAAGGAGTACTGGAATGTCACTTAAACAAGACATTTAGAAATATCAGTGACCATATCAGTAAAATGTCTTGAACAGAGATGGGATGATGTCACTGTTTTCAGCAATAGCTATGTTTACATTTATTTTTCCCCTTTTTAAATGTTTCTAAATTTCTCAGAAGAATAGGTTTTGAATCAAACCATGCCTCGCCTTGTGTGTGTCTTCTTTCTCAGAATAAAATACAAATGTAAGGAATAACATAAATTCCCTTCTTTTGTTAGAATTACATATGGAGCAGTGTGTTTTGGGAGTACCACAAAGTGTCCCCTTCACCTTGTTGAATTGCCTTGTTGAATAATTGCCAACAAAATCTAATCTCAAACAAGCTGAACATTTCAGTGATGAATCCCTAAAACTCTGCCTCTCAGTCACAGACGCACAGACACACACTCACACACTCACACAAAGTCAATTTACCACTGCCTGCCTCTCTATCACTCAGCCTCGGCATGTGTGCTGAGGCGTGACAACACTCATTCGGTCTTTCTTGTTTTGACAAACGCCCCAAGAGATTTATTAAAAATACCACAGAGCACAAAACAGTTTTTTTTCAGCACACGGTGACAAGCGGATCTATGTGAAGCGTTCACAACAATTTGTTGCTTGTAGTGATTAGGGCCCAGAGGTGTGTATGCAGATTTGTGATTGTGTGTGCGTGTGTGTGAGGACATAAAAACCAACGAGAGAGAAAGAAGCTCTGTCGAGTGAAAGAAGATGTGCATATTTAATATCACACGTCGACAGAAAATCTCTCCCAAGTGTGCGTATGTCTTGCGTCCTGCAATCTGAGAAAAGAATGAGTGACAAGAATGAATCAGAGACAGGAATGAATAAAAATGTATAGAAAATAAATGACAGCAGCTAAGTTAATGCATCCAGTGTAATGTCAGCTTTCATTTTTTTGTAAAAAACAAATCTAATAAAGGATTTCCCACAGCTCATCGCAAAATCTCACGGACACATCAGAGTGAAAATCCCAGAAGAGTATGTGGATAATGGAAGCTGTGCAAAATGTCTTCTTCTGTACTTTTCGTATTCTCAGTTCAGCCGATATTTGGCACAAAGTGAGAATGAAATCACAAAATTAGATAGCACAGGTTTTCTTTGTTCATAAACGTGTTGAGTTAAGCAGAAGGTTGAATAAATCAGACCATGGCCAGAAGGTCAAGTGAGTATATTTGATGATGGAATATTTTTCTTCAGTTCACCAGGTGAGTCATAATGAAATGTTGCTAGGCTGGGAGTCTCTGAACTTCTGATGGAAATGAATATGAAGGGAAGCTTTGTTTGTCTGGAGTAAAACAATAAAATGTGCCAAATATTTAAACAGTTTCATAAATGTAGTTAGTTTTTCCCATCCATATTTTAACCAAAACATAAACCAGTCAGAAAGACTACACTAAGACAGTGAAGATGCCCATAAATGTAAAGATTAAATATTCCATATCATTGTATCACAGGATCACAGAAAATGATTATATACAGTAACTTTAGCATATTCCATAAATATTGCTTAATTTCTTGAAATATTTTGAGATATTTATTTGTTTGAGGATCCACAATTAATCTAAGCTACACTAGTGGATGATGTAGCACAAGCTTTTTCAGTGGTTAAACATCTCTTAAACAGGCTGTCACCATCATTTATTTTAGTTGTGGTACTGTTACATTGCTAGATTTCATTTTACATTCTTGGAGCCCCTCCAGAATTAGCATCCTTTCTCCTTTGCATACAGTATCTTCCTACAGGATACTAAACTGGCATGGACTCAAGTCTTATGGGACCAAAGATTTAGCCGACAAAGTTCCACAGACAACATTTGGCAAATAAAGAGCTGAGAGCTATGCAGGAGGGGGGGGGGGGGTTGACATCAGCAACATGCTCCATCAGAGATTAGTCACGTCAGCGAGCCAGAAGTTCCCTGTCCCTCCACGTCCCCCCGGCTGGAGAAACAGGAAGGGACGGTTATGATGGACACTTGTCAAAGCTCATGTCCGTCAGAAAAGTTCCTACACTGTGTGTGTGTGTGTGTGTGTGTGTGTGTGTGTGTGTGTGTGTGTGTGTGTGTGTGTGTGTGTGTGTGTGTGTGTGTGTGTTTAAAGCAGAGGCCCGCAGGGAGTGAGAAGTAATATGAGTGCCAAACATGGAACAGCTGCTAAATGTGGCTCTGCAGAGGGGCAGGGTGTATGCAGGCCTTAATGGAGCTACAGATTGCTGTGCAGCAACACTGTCCGTCACTTTCAGTGGCAGCGTTCTCCGAGCTCTGCCATATTCTACTGGAGCGACTGCTGCCTCCAAAGGGCCTGTCCATAAAAGTCATTCTGCCGGATTTATCAGAGGATGAAAAGGCGACAAACCAACTCACGATTTTAGTGATGGGGTGATGGGGTTTGTATCAAAAGTGATACAAACCCATAATCCACTGCCCATCTGCCCCTTCTGAATGCTCTTGCTATTAGCTTGTTTGTACTTATTAATTTACCAAATTGGCAATAGAGCAAAATCCCTTAGACACACAATGACGTTTCCTATGGTTTAAGCCAGATTTAGATTCAAGAGCAGCCAACTGGTGTTGGATTTGCTGCTGAGCACCAACGCAGTCTTGCTTCAAGTTGGAAGCACAGTGGCTTCCCAAGGACTTAATATAATACGTCTATAGCACTCACAGATGTGACAGGGGAATACAGTGATCCTGGATTAGAGAGATGAGATTCAGTGAGGTGACCAAAGCAGAGAGGAGGAGGGGACTGGTATGATGTGTGAGAGAGGAGGGGGAGAGCAGAGAGTAAAACTAAAATCTTAATCAAGTGAAACGGAGTAGGACAAGGAACAAGGAGAAACTGGTGAGGCTGAGTTGTGGCAGGGAGACGTCTTCTTCTGTTTAATACAAGACTATGAAAGTGCTGACAGAGAAAAGTTTCAACCAGAAAGACCTCTGTTTCTCCTCTAACCCTATGAGTGCAAGGACAAGCGGGTATATATTCCCACTGTCCAGCACATTAATGCTGGTCAAAGAGTGCGTGTGATGAATATCTGTTGGGTAATGCACTCCCACTAGAGCAAAGGATACACTCAAACAAGATATGTTATCAACTAAATCCTTAATTAATTGTCTTCCACTGTATGCAAACAGTAGACCCTGATCATTTTAAAATCAAAAAGGTGATGACACAGTTTCATGCTGAACTAAGCAGAAGAGGTCAAAATATGCACCAGTAGTGACTCAATACACTTCAAAATAACTATCTAGGAAGTAAACTGAAATGAAAACGTGGTTTTGTTACATTTGTCCCGCTGTTGAAGGACATGATAATGTGCAAACATTCCGCGGTCACACTGACCATGTTCCAATTGTGCAATTTTGAACGTTGTTTGTTTTCAAATGTGGCACACAAACTGCAGGTCATCTTAGCAGCAGACTGGATGCTCTACTTTTTTTATTATTATAGACTGAAGGAAGCATTAGATCAAATACAGAGAGGTTTAAAAGACAGCAGCATTGTATAAATGCTGTCTCATTGCTTCAACATGAGTGCAGAGTCAGACAGCTCATGTTTATTTCTGGCGGCACGGGTAAAGTCCTTAGGTCACTGGTGAGGGGTTTGCAAATTGCAGGCATGCCAAAGATGCCAAAGGTGGATTTACTTTTTCCTGTAGGTCTTATTTGAGCAGCAATATAAGCAGCAAGTCATTTTGTGTGTGTCAGTGTGTTGTGCCCACACAAGAAGAGCAGCAGTGTCTTGGTTCCGGAGGATTTGTTAGGATATACCAGTGGGCCCTGGCTGCTTGGGTGAGGCTGGCTGTTCTCCAAAATCTCTGAGAGGGCAGAAGGGGTGAGATAGAAAGATGGGGTGTCATCTCAGTGGGGTGTGTCAGAGGGGACGCAGTGGTGAAATTCCTTGTTCACATACCACAGTGCTTTCACATCCACTTTGGGCCGTCTAAGGGCCTCAGTCTTAGACTATGTGCAGCACCCCTTTATATTATCTGTGTCTTTAAATATAAAAAAAAAGCACAAACACAATCATAAATAGTACACCAGATGAATAACTTAAACCTGCCAATATAAATAAAAAGGCTACAATCGTGGGTTAGTGCGCACACGTGAGGCAGTGTATCGGATTGTTTGGGAGTAGACCAGGTCCGCCACATACAGTCCAAAGTTGACGAAGGAGAAAACCGCCACCACGAGTTTGCTGTCCCACGGACACTTCCCCTGAGGGCATGACGATGGTCTCCATGGAGAGCCATATTTTGGGTCAAAGCAAAACACCGGCCACACCACTGACGCACTCAGGTAGAGGAGAACTTCCAGGAGGGTGCACACCACCACGAAGCGGTCAAAGGGCAAGCAGCGCACAGCCTTGGTGCGCCCGCACACCGTCATGACGACCACAAGAGCAGTCAAAGCAAAGCAGAAAGCATAGACGACCACGCAGAAGATTGTGGCCGCATAACGGGAATATTCACTCCCGTTGGCCAGAGCTCCGAAGATGATGCAGGCCACAAAGCCCTGAACCACTTTGAGGAGGCCAGAGGCGGTGGCCATGTAGCCCACCACAGCCTGGCCCGGCCTGGCACGGCACAAGGCCACTTCAGCCCCGTAGGCCAGAGCACCCAGGATGGAGCACACAGTGACAGCGATGCGGAAATTTCGGACATCACATCCGGCGTAGGGGCACTCGGATCGGACGAAGAAGAGCGGGTACACAACAGAGGCTGTCACAAACCTGAAGGAGACAGAAAAGATAACTGTAGATATGATGTCTTCAAACCAGAGGAAATATATAATCTGAGGTGTTAAAGTTGGTGAAATAGACCATGAAACAAACAAAAGGACTGCCAAAGACAGTTAGCAGACATTAAAGTGTGATATTTATTAAATCTGTCCAGCAAAGATTTGTTGGTCACTGGGGGGCAGCAAAAGAAGCATAGTATAGTATACATAGTATCACCTTAAGAAGTTGATATTGTAAGCAACGTGTGTTTTATTTTCCCGCTTAGCAGAGGTACATTAGCATTAGAAGATGGTGGTCACCTGTAAGCTGTTCAGGTAATGTACTGGTTCAGTTAGTCAGACCTACCTGCAGCTGCTAGAAACTAGGGCAATGATACCAGTCACAAAATGTGTAAAGTACCGTAAGTAGTAATGTTGCAGTCTGTAAAACCAAAACAATTACCTGAAGGATGCTTAAATTCTCTGTATAACTGAGGAGAAAATATGAGTATATGAAATTTAAGTAACAGTCTTAGCCTTATCTTGCTGTGTGTGATTTTTCGGAAACCTTTATAACCTAACCTTGATGTGACACGGACATCTTCAGTACCTTTCCTATAATAAACAAGTTATATATTATTTATTAAATTTGAATTGAGGGTTGGTGGACCAACATACAGTTTGTAACAATGGAGGTGTTTAGGGATACATCACTCTTAGGTACATCCCTGGCTGTGCACAAAATATGTGGAAGAAGAGCCATGAGGCAAGTTAGGTCTGAACATCACCAACATTACTCCAACATCAGAGTTATACCTGAACATGTGACTTACATGAGGGTCGCGAAGGCAGCACATGTGACTGTGAGGTTGTCCCAGGATATGGGCAGGCAGCTGTAGAGGCGAGTGGCGTCCAGGAAAAACACCACGATCGTCATGGCGAAGCAGAAGCACCAGGCCGCCATGCAAAACACGCCGTGTGAACCGCTGTAACCTGCACTGTGTGTAACCATGGCAATCACAGCACAGCCCATGGCTAACTGACAGAGGCGGGCAGCACCCAGAGGTGAGCAGAGGGCCCTCTTGTTGAGGTATGCACCAGCCTGTGAATCCATTTATGGGTAAATATTCTAGTGAGTTCTTTAATGTTCTGGATGTCCAGGAGCGGCACAGTCAGATGATGTGGGGTTTAAAGTATTTAACAGGTCAAAGATTCAACTTAACTCAGAAGGCCAAAGCAGTCCCACAAAAACAAGAAAAAGCGTCCTTGTGAAAAAGATGTGATTGTGACATCAAGAGATCAAATTGAGAACAAAACATGAAAAGATATCCAGATGTTCAGGAAAGTGTTTCATTCATGTATAATTAATTCTGTCACCACCCCTGTAAAATCCACTTTCTCTGCTGTGTTTACAGACTTGGTGATACTCTATTTCTGTGTTGATGAATCACAGCGTTTCACAGACATAAGGTATGACAACACCAGGGAAATCTCTCTTTGACATCTTCAGTAAGAGCTCACACGGTGTACAGTACACCCATGTTGATCTCTCTTTTGTAGGTCCTGTAAGTCCACGATGTTTATCAAGCAATTGTCGGTAAAGTCCTGCCACATGGTACAGCCCAACCCTTCAGCTGAAATGATCCGGTCCTGACACTGAATCTTCTTGGATCAACTATCCAGATATGTTTGTATCCGTCTCTGTCCAACATTCACATACTGAGTCCACGTGGCCACACGAGTCAAATAGACACCATGAACTCTCTTCGAATGTCAACGCTCATCCTCTTTCGTTCTCTCTCTGTCACACACTCTTACTCCCACACTTTCTCCTTCCTCACTGTCCCTCTCTGAGCTGTGAGGAGGGGTGCTGCCGGCCGGTCAGAGTGGAAGTTATTCGGGGTTGGGCCATCACCACACATGTGCCGCAGGGATTGTGTACATGTGGTTGGGCGTGGAGTCGGGGCATGCAGACACATATAAGACCCTGTGGAATGAGGTGCCATAGCTGACCCCCTGATGTCCCAGAGTGCACAGGTCAACACATGAGGAAGTCAGGGGACACTTGAATTAAACTACGAAGCTGGGAGCGTAGAGGCGACATCACCAGAGAGATGTTGGATCTGAACAAAACTGTGTTAAAAGATGTTTTGGTATATAGTTTTCTCACCACACTTATTCCTCTTTACATCACCACTTAGTTTTACGAGTGCTGCTAGAAGATAATAATCCTGTATATATAAACATGTGTAAAAAAAAAACTAAAAAAAAAACTCTTTTCTTTCAAAAATATTATTATGAAATAAAATATGCCCGTAAGTTATTTAAATGGAAATATTTCCCTAAAGAAACAAAAACTTAAAAAAAAAAAAAGAACACTTTGAATATAGTAGAAAATGTACCATGATAATGTTATTTTTAATTTCTAACATTTTATTCATGTGATTGTTTATTGCATTATGACTTATCTCTTTGGCACTATCTAGCCTCATCCACACCTCAAGATTCCGGTCACCTGATACATCTATATTCATTGTCATGAAAACTTTAAAAAAATCCACTAAATGTAGGGCATTGACCCATTTAAAAAACAACAAGGGGACACCAAAATGTGTGGTTAATGCGTCCAATATGAAATATATGAGCCAAATCACCATGATTGCCCTATGAAAAAGGTGACACAAAGGTGAGGGAGAGTGGCAACAAAAGAAGGACCCAATGCAAACTAAGCAGGCTTACAGGATAAGATCAGTGATTTATTGCCAAGTACGAATACTGGTTGGGTGCTGGCAAAAAGGAAAATAGGAGTTAATTTAGGAGTCCAAATTAGGAGGTAGGCAGGCAAATAGGTAACAGACAGAAAACTACATTGGAATTGGAGGGTGCGACAGGTGTGTGGATGGGTGGGGCAGTCAGGTGATGGGGCAAGAAAGGAAAATCAGAGGGCATTTGATGGATTAATGGATGTAAAATGGTAATGAAAGGGCCTGGGAAATAGAGAATGTAAGAGAGAAGGGACAGAGAGATATTAAAAGGCTCAACATAACTGAGAACTGCAAAACTGGGCGTCTAATCCAAGATTTGTATTAAGTGCAAAAGCCAAGAGAGGACCATAGTGTCCTTGGACAATATAAAGCATACTAAGAAATGTTGTTAGAAGTGTTGAAAGGCTCTGTGACATTTCTCATTTTGTCAGTAATCTTTTTACCAAATTTTAATGGATCACGTGACACTTATTTTTTATATTTTTTACACTTTCAATTCCAATCCAATCGCCCATTTTAATCTGCTGCCTCCGAAAAAACATTGTATTTTCTTCCTAATCTATCTGACTGTGCTCTCATTTTACTATAAACATGAGTGTCAGTGTGCTTTCATCCTGTGTGTCCATAGGTCTCTGTCTCCACCTGCAGGTGTGAGCCTCTCTGTTCAACAGCACTTTACGTCTTTTGTTTTCTTAGTTATGTTCTCTGTATTTTATATGTTTGTGTTATGTGTTATGTGTAACGTTGCTGCCTTCTTGGCCAGGTCAGAATTGAAAATGAGATTTTATCTCAATGTTTTTTATCTAGTTAAATAAAGGTTAAATAAAAAAATAAAAACAAATTTACACTCATTTACGTAAAAATGCACACACATAGCTCACTGCATCTAAATAATGTCACATTGGCATTAAAACTTAATCTGAAATGTAAATAAAGCTGTCAGACAAATGCACTGGAGTAAAAAGTAAAATATTTACCCTTCGAGTAGAGGAATACATTAGCATAACAGGGAATACTCGAGTAAAGTAAAAGTCAGAACTTGAGTAAAGCAACATCCTACAACATCCTACCACTGCATAAGAGAGACATCAAATTATTCATTAATTATCAATATTTCATGTATGACTTTATGCATGAAAAAGCACTATTTATTTTATGTAATACTTCATGAAATAGCAATCATATGTGCAGTAGGAATTGTTGACCTCTAAATTATCAATTCAAGTTTGTGAATATTATAACATGTACGTTCACTTAAATGGTTGTTGAGCTTTAATCTAGTATGTGATATTTGATATATATATATATATATATATATATATATATATATATATATATATATATATACTTATACATTATTGTAGTCCTGGTGACTAAAGTAGAGTCAACTAATTATATTGCATGCATGTATACACTGTTGTTCTGACTGTATTTGAGGGGAGAGTAGTACTTGAGTAAATGTACTTAGTTACTGTTATTTTGACTTTATTTGACGGGAGTCACGGGACTGTAGTACTCGAGTAAATGTACTTAGTTACATTGCACCGCTGTACCAGCGATCTATAGGAACAGGTTATCGACGAGAATAATTTACCATGGAACATGGAACATGGAACATGGAACATGGAATATTACATAGAACCGAATGTTGGAACGAACATAACAGAGAAGAGATCTAGAACGTCCGAAGTAAGCAGGACTGAGAGCAGAAACACTTCATTACCCTTCAGACTCTCACAGAGAACAGCACGAACAACTCAAAGTAAAAAAAACACAACCTCAAAACAGAACAAGCAGTAGCTAATAGGTAAGTATTTAAGCTACTATATTTTAGTAATATAAACTGAAGTAATTGTACATTCAGTAACAGATAAATACCCCCAAAGTTAATGCTAGCTGTGATGATTAGCTTACATTCACACGGCTAGCGTTAGCTAAATATTTCTCTAAAGCCTTTTTGCTGTTTACACAACAGTGTAGATCAATTTGAAAGTAGTTAAAGTTAAAAATAAATCCGAAAAGTACTTTTAAATGTAGAAGGTTTATCAGTAAAACTTGCCAAAAGTACACAAAGTAGAAGTACTCACAGTGCTGCATGTTGTCCCAGTCATATGATATTTGATACTGGTGCATAAAGTTGACAGCAGCATATCAATGTTGGAGCTGGTCATATTATAGTTAATATTACTCACTTCCTTTTCAAATTCAACTGTTTAAGTTGTGTGTGTAGAATTTTAATCTGCAACATAAATAGTTACAGAGCTTTTGTTGTAGAAATCCATATCTGCAAAGTAACTCAAACTGTAACACAAATGTGGTGAAGAAAACAGACACTAATACCATAAAAGAGTTAGTATAATATAACGTGTTTCTTTGACAGTGTCTCCATCATGGAACATTTTACCAAGCTGGAGGAACTAGTAGCAGGGATGAGTCCAGATGAGTTCCTCTCTACTCTCCTCGAGGCACTGGAAGCCTGTGTTGGCAAGGCCCTCAACCCCCTGCCTCCTCCTGCCCCTGCTCCTGCTGCTCCACAGCCGGTAAGACCCTGCTTACCACGCTTTAAATGAAATTGGAAAAATTCAAATTAGTCAGAAAGGTTCATTAGAATATTTATCACTGTCAGTCAATCTATTCAGACTGGCAGATTAATAGACAGGCAGATACATAGATAATACAAATCTTTAATTTTAGTTGCAGCTTTGTCAATACAGACTAAAATAGAGAAAGTATTATGGCTGATTAACCTCCCTCTCTGTCTCCACAGAACATTCAGTATATGTGGCCTGCTAACAATGCTCAGTTCCTGACGGCTGTCAGAGAACCTGCTGCTGCTCTACAGCAAGTAAGACCCTGTAACACACTCTGAACATATTCCCTGTTTGGTTTCAGCACACAGCACATTTAGTAGCATGGATGTAGGAGAAAGAAATGCTGAAACAGTAACAGCTGGACAGGACAAACATAAATACATTTTCTTCCAATTAAAACTTCATTAGACATTTTTTTAATCAAAGATGAATTAGATCAGTAAAACTACAAAATGAAGGAGAATATCTCATAGTGGAGTGACTGGATATGAAACTATTCTGATAGAAGTGTTTGAAGGGGAAATCCTTCCACTTAGTGGACTGACAACACCGTTGCAGCTTGTCTCATCTTTCTCCTGTGTGTGTGTGTGTGTGGTGTGTGTGTGTGTGTGTGTGTGTGTGTGTGTGTGTGGTGTGTGTGTGTGTGTGTGTGTGTGTGTGTGTGTGTGTGTGTGTGTGTGTGTGTGTGTGTGTGTGTGTGTGTGTGTGTGTGTGTGTGTGTGTGTGTGTGTGTGTGTGTGTGTGTGTGTGTGTGACCCCAGATCATTGATGTGCCGATGGTGAACCTCCCTGAAGGCCAGCGCTTGTGCTATGTCGGGATGATGTAAGTAACACACACAATAATACTAACAACAACAGTGCCAATGACAGTCTGCTTGTATCATCACACACTCTTTCTATTATCTAATGTGTGTGTCCATCCTCCTTTATTTGTGTAGTAATGGACAGGAGTTGTACGAGGTCCCTCCTCCCTACTTCCAGGTTCCCGTCCCTGCTGCTCCTTCACTGAGCTACAACTCAAAGTAAGTTTACTCTCTTTTTAAACTGTTGTGATCTGTAGCCATACATGAGTCGTACTCATTATCCTCTATCTGTTTGATTTAAGGAGTCATTTATCTAGGAAATGCCTACATCAACATTATTATAATACATGTATTTTAAAGGGGTTTAATGTAACAACACAGTACCCATATGTTCTATATTTATACTGACATTTCTTTCTTATTTTTCTCTTTTTCTTTTCCCGTAGAAAGAGATGGCATAACAAACAGCAGGACAACAACCGCCCGTACATCCGGAAGCCCCTGAATGCCTTCATGCTGTACATGAAGGAGCACCGAGACCACGTGAAGGCGGAGGTTGTCTCCGAGAGGCGAGGCACAGCGGCTGTGAATGAAATCCTGGGCCAGAGGGTAAGTGTGTTTGGTCCGTATGTTTAAGTCGGATACATATAAATATTTTTAACAGGCCAGCTTGTAAAAAGTCTTCTAACTGTAACTCACACATTTTTACAGAGACTTTCATTTGTTGTCTCATCACCAAAGATTTAGAGCTTTGTGTGTGCTGATGTTTTTATGCTTGTGCTTGTGCCTGTACACTATCTGTATAGTGTCAGTGTGTTTGTGTTAGTGTGTCCTAACAGTGTGTTTTCATGTGTCCACAGTGGAAGGCAATGACTGAGGAGGACAAGGAAAAGTACTTCAGTCAGTCACAAGAGGAGAAACGGCTCCACGCCCAGCAGAATCCTCACTGGTCCTATAGTGAGAATTATGTAAGTACACACCTCCAACATGTTTCTATCAATAACAAGAGCTTATGAAACACTGCAAATACTTCATTTTTATTTATTTTGTTGTGTGTAGGGCCGAAAGATCAGGAAGAGAAGACATGCTCGCTCCAGTGATAAAGGTAAGACGATGTTTTCATGTGATGAAAGCAAGATTACATGGTACCACACCGGACCATGTGACTAGATTAGATCACTGATTCCTAAATCACTTTGATTTTCCAAACTACACATACACAGATTTAATCATTTATCAAGTTGAATTAAATATGCACTTCTGAATTGGACATTTACATGAGTACAAAAGATTCTGGCGTGAGGGTTTAACTAAAGACTGAATTGTGTTATGTTACAAAATAAATCCCAGAAAACTCTTTGGATTGACTGTACTTACTAAAGTGCTGTTTAATGCAGGTTTAAGAACTTGTTTTCAAAGTGTTTAAAGTTTAAGAAGACTGATCAGTGTTTTTTTTTGGTCACAGCGTCTGCACCTGCAAAGAAGCAGTGTGTGACAGCACTTTCCTGCTCAGAGACCATGTCTCTCATCACCATGGAGGAGCTGATCTAAACTGCCTCCTCCGGCCATAATCAGGATGCTGCGTTTACTCATCAATAAAATTGCTAACAGCACTTTTAATGTGTAAGAAAATAATTGTAGAAGATTTAAAAGCAGTCATGATGGTGGTTACATTCAGGGAACCAGAATCAACATCAGACAGGTTTAGTGGAACTAATGAACTGGCAGTTGAGTGAATAACAAATTCATAATCATTACTGTGAGTCCTCCTTGCTCAGATATTTGGGGTGATTTTGTGTTGCCTCATTACCGTGTGAACGTTTTTATACTGTGTGTCTTATCAATTTAATATAATTTAATGTATTATTAATGTATGTATTACCATGTGTATATCCTTTAATATTTTTAAGACAAGTCTGTGACACTCCAGGGGTTGGTGAAACTATTTTAATTTAAATTATATTTATATTTTTGTATGAAATACTTTCTAGTTTATTATTTCTGAAGTGGCTTTTCATTCCATGTGCCTTTGGTATTTTGATATGATACAGTGTTACTCTCACATTGATTTATGGGAATTCTGTGATGAGATGGTTCAAAATAAAAAAGGTCGGATGCATTTAAGACATTTCTCTTGTCTTGTTCTTTTACATAAACTGTAGCTGTGTTCAAGAATAAGCATGTCAGGTTGTTCCAGTAAAGGAATGTTTGAAAAGGTTCAAGTTCAAGGTTCAATGCTTTTATTAGTCATACGTACATAGCTACAGTGTAGTTATGACGATGAAAATCTTAGGTCACAGGCTTTAGGATTTATTTTGTGATTGATATCACAAGTGATATAAATAAAGTTTGATTTGGTAAGGGTCCTTGGCTATGGCCCTGCTGTGACCCTCTCCTAATGTCAGCTGGAGGGGCTCCAGCACCCTGTGAAGCAACGCTCACACCTTCATCTCTCTTCTCAACAAGGCAGCTGTGCTCTTGACCTGCTACAGCTGCCACTAGGGGGCGCTACTGCAGCACCTAGAGGCCCCGTGTGCTGACCCCTCAGCCCTTCATTACAACCTTGAAATATCTTTGTCGGTTTAATAAGCAAAAGAGCAATTTTACATTTTTCAAGGGTGTTTATATAGGTAAAAGTTTAGTTTTTAAGGAGAATTGGAGAATGTTGTGGTCAAACTGACACACACTCCATTATGAGCCTCTCTTAGTGTCACTTATTTGGCATCAAAGTCTCCAGGGGACAGTTGGAAGTAATTAATCTGTACCAGGGAGACAGAGTGTACGTCTGTGTGTGTGAGACAAGTGGAGGAAATGCACTCCTCTCACTCTCAAACAAACTTAAACAAAAACACACAAACGCACAGCGTCCTGTGTTTAGCCTCTTGCGTGTGTGTGCGTGTGTGTGTGTGTGTGTGTGTGTGTATGTTGCTGACTAAATGTAAAATGATGGTTGCATGCTGGTTGTGTACCATTAGCTGTGAACGGGGGTCAGAGGCTGCGTTCATCGTGATGTCTGTACTGTTGTACTGTTAGTGTGGTCTCCATGGGTACAGGGAGGAATCTGAAAATGATTGAGCTGCTCTTTAAAGAGGATTTCTTTTATCCAATTTCTGGTTTTCTACATCTACATCTTTAAGCGGTTGACTAATCATAACAGAGCCGGCCAGCTGACCAATATAAGCAGACTGGGTTCTGGTCGGAAAAACCTTTCTGAACATTAAAGCATGTTTAAATATCAACCCAAAAATGAGCATAATTGGCCCCTTTAACACCATTCCCTTACTTACAAAGTCAAACCAATACAGACAGTGCCTCTGTGACTGTGACACACATCTCAGTCCACTTGTACCGGTTCATCAAATTCATCTCATCACATCTTCTTATTCCCTAATTGTCTTAAATTTAAAAACACATTTTCTGCAGTTAAACAGATTCAGCAGATCTGATGTAGTAGGGAAGGTCATTCAAAAGATTAAGAGGTACAACCTTCATGTAGTGCTTTGTGTACATTTAATAAATTGACCCTGTTTTACTGGGAGCAACTAAGGAGATGCAAGAATTGCGGCGATCTGGGCGTATCTTTTGTTAGACTACCTGCTGAATTTTGCACCAATAAAGACAAAAGAAGAGAAAAGATCATAATGTGTCAATAACAGATCACATGGTTCTATTGAACCTTGTGAAAACGATAACATGGATGTGTAATTTGAACTTCAAGATAGTGCAAGTACAACAATCTTTATTCACTTTGCACAACATTTCACCTTCAGCACTCTGCTCAGAGATCAACTGGAATGAAACACAACAATCCTCTGCAATGAAAATAACCTTTCACTTATTGATCTCATTATTTGACTGCTTAAAAACCTAGGCATGTGCAGGCTTCTTCCACGAGGGATGTTTAGTCCACTGTGGATACAAAGTCGAGCCTTTATCAAAGCGCAGCAAAAAGGTTTAAGTGCTCTCCTCAGTCTTCACGCAGCTCCAGAGACGTCCTCCTTCCACACACAGCAGCCGTCTCATTTCTTACCTGTGCAGGGAACAAGGAGACAGTGATCAAGAGCTCTGCCAGTCAAAGAAACAAAACATGCCAACAGCACAGTACTGATGCACCTTACTGTCATTTTCATTATCGGATTAGATTCTACTTTCTACAAAATGTGAAGAAATTGTAATTAAAAAAGTGACAAGGTGTCTTTAAAATGAAGATGTCTTAAATGTGTTGTCAATCCTAAACCCAGAGATGTTCATTTTAATATGAAATACACTTGATAAAAAGAGAAGGAATCCATATTTCAGAGGCTGAACATTACTCTCATGATTAATGGATAATCAGGTGGTGATTATTTAACCATTGATCAATCATGTATTCAATTAGTTAGTAGACTACACTACAGCTCTACAGTACAGTTGAACAAAAGCACTGGAAAAGCTTTTAAATTCTCAACCAAAACATTTAATTATTTTCAACAAAGAAGAATTGAATTGTACAATACAACATTTAGTTGTTCTAGGTGAGATTGAATTGGTTTAAACTAAAAATGATATAGCGTTATTAGCATCTTTCCATGGGACTCAGCATGAAAGCAAATGAGTATTTTTCCAAATGTTCAACTATTGAAAAGTGATTTGATGACTTGGATAACCACTTCTGAATTTGGAATGCTGCCACTGGATGTGCATTGAAATTGTAATAAAAACACGCACCGTATCATCCAGATTTCCAAATACCCAATACGACATGTGAAGTGTGATTAACTAAATATGAATTGCATGATGCAGGAAGGAGCAGAAAGTCTCGAGACGGCTGAAGATTGGATGCGTCAGGTTTAATCTCAATCTGTGCCAATACTCTTTAAATGTAGTAATCTGAATTAACTACCAAACATTTTGAATGATGGACAAACAGTTTGAGTGTCTGTGTGTTTAAGTGTCCTTTAAACCGTGGGGTTCCACATATGGAGCCTATAACTCCCGATCCAGATCCCCTCCCCTTTCTCTTTTAACTTTCCTCATGAAAGAGAAAGCAGCCACAACTTTCTTTAAAGACGCACATGGAAACACACAGAGATCAGCCTGAAACTAAATGTGCACATAAGAGAGCAAATAAAGAGCATTATTCTTAACCAAAACATCAAAACAGTGACCGCCACAAACACCACAACAGAACAACAGAAGAGCTGCGTGCTGGGACGCACCACAGGGGCTCCCGCTGTGTGATGTGGCCCAGCAGCAGGCTCTCTCTCTGGGCATCGAGTGTCTGAAGTGGTCTGAACCAACAAATTGGTTCACCCTCAAATGCATCCTTATCTTCTGAGTCATGAGGAACTCTGCTTAGAAAGAGGCTGCTTCCTATTGACTGTGGTTTTGGGGTTTGTGTGTGTTCCCTTCTGTTCTTTCGTGACCGATAAAAAAGGATGTGATCTCTCAGGAGAAGAATGGCTGGAGGGGCTGTTTTGGGGGTGTAAAGAGACTTTGTTAGGGATGTATGAAGGCTTTCAACGGAACTTTGTTGCAGAGAAATTAACCGGACCGAGACCACCTGGAGTGTTGCGTCTCCAAGATGGACTTCGCTGTGATTCTGGAACGAGATTATGCACTCTGAACTACAATTAAAGCAACTTTTTGATCATTTCCTGGAAAATATGTTTTAAAAAAGGGGGTTCTTATTATATGTAAGGACAAAACATTTATATACAAACAACATAAGCAATATGGGATGTTTGAGGACTAAAGTGTTGTCCGGCTAGCAAGTGTTTACAAGTCTGTACATTGACTTATGGTTAAGTCATCTCAGTGTTTATGACTTTGAGTAGTTCTCGATGGATTGTGTAACATGTTCTGCTGCCACGGTGGAAATAAATTCCTGAAGAGCGAAAAACATTTCCCACGTATTCTGCACAACGGGACTCTTCCAAAGAGCCACATTTGACACAGCATGTCATGATGAGATGTTCAAAAAGAAAGCCTGAGAATATTACTCAAAAAATGTTTTCTTGTCTGGGATATTCATAGGTAACAGAATCTAAGCTCACTCACATGAGAGCTGACATGATTGCATAATAAAAGATTGGTTATTGCCATTATTATTTATTCTCTTTGACCTATTACAGTATTGAAATTACAATTGCATTTTTATCCTTATTTTACAAATAATTACTTACATTTTTTAGCATGATGGATTCTACTAAAGATGCTGCTCAATATGACAGCAGCTCGCTTGGCGTTCACTTTAGGACAAAGTAACTTCGCTTCAGAACTATTTAAGTATTTTTTGAATGTTTTGAAGTCCTGTGCTTCACACTTTTTGTTTATGCATTTTTCTACTTTATTTCCCAACTTTTCAGCCCTCAGCCCTGCAGTCTCACGCCCTTTCATGTGGAGTTGCGAGGCTATAACCTGCTATTTCTGTACAAGGGTACAAACAATAGTGTGGTTTAAGAACACGCCAAGAATGTGACATTTCTTAGGATCTTTATGGTGAACAGATTTAAGAAAAAGGTGGAAAAAATTATTGGTGAATGAGACCCATTGTATTGATTTCTTCTTTGGGACTGACCAAACAAACCAAACTACAGATGTGAAGGAAATGATTGTGTGAGTGATCTAGTGCGTGTGCTGTACATCTCTCACCTGGAAGCTTGAGCCACTTGGGCATTGTTCCCGGGTCAGACCTGGCAGGTTTAGCAGGCGGGGGGTTTTCAGACGAGGCTCCACTGTCCCGAGCGGCTCCGCTGGGGTCGGCCCTCGGCTCCGGAGCAGACGGTTCCTCCGGGCCCTGAGAGCTGCCGGAGGCTGTCGGGGACCGCAGCATACAGCTGGGGGGGGGGGGGGGGGAGGTCGGATAAGAAGAAGAACATTTTTATTATACCATGGTATCGTCAGATCAAGTCAGGTATTATTCTTGCATCCCAGCAGCTCCATTTGCAACATCAACAAGGACAAATGTGTAGGACAATAACATATCATCCCAATCACTGAAGACAATATTTCAAGACCTAGACTAGAGAAATATTTTATTGTATATTTGACCTGGGATTAAACCCTGTATTTAATTATAGGTTTGACTGGAGCCTTAAAGAGTGCTTCAGTCTTAATACTTAGGGGACCCCGTATGTCCCATGGATGTTTAAAGAGAACTAGAGTCTACCAGTTTAGATTTAACCACGACCACTTCCGAATTAACGTAGCTCTGCGTCGTGGACGTATAAAGGGAAAGTCGCTGTCCCCATGTTAACAACGCTATAGTAATATCATGTTGTAGGTAAAAGTAGCGCTTTTCTAATATGAAAGAACATCAAAGTTGAGTTAATGTTTTTATTTTGAATTTTGATTCACCAAGGATATCAAAATAATAAACTAGAAACCAATACCGGTATGTAGCTTAATAGCTCATTTTTAGTTTTGTCACGTTTTGTACACGAGTACAGTATTTGAGTAAATGTACTTTATTGAGGATAACAAATATTCCTCTTGCTGCAGACCGCTGTAACGTGTTTCACTTGCACTGACTGATAAACAGCCCTTATAGTTTTTTTCCCAAGCTAGAGAAGACGTGATATTACCTCAGCGTTACCATGGGGACGATGACGTTCTCTCTGCAGTCACGCAGAGCTACGTTAATGCAGAAGTGGCCGTGGTTAAATCTAAACTAAGTTGGAAAACGATAGAGGCGCTCAGGACATGGTCGGGTCAGAGATGATGTTGTTGGCAAGCCTCGATGTGTTATTATATGTCTAAAGTACTTGTAAAAGGTGTCCTCAGAAAAGAGGCTTTGAAGAAGACTTGTTGTTCCTGTATTTATTTAAGAAGCATTGTTTTGCATGTGGAGAGAAGTTATGGAACTGTGAGATCAAGGAGAGAAGTGACAACCTTGTAAAAGGACAACAGGTGGGGGTCACATTTGGGAGCGGGCTCTATCTTTAGAAGGACTGGAAAGTGGTTTATGTGTGTGTGTGTTTATGTGTGTGTGGAGGAAATGAGGGCGCATGGGGGCACCTGCTGTTTAGGCTGAACCTCAAAGGGATTCCTATGATGACAGCTTTGTTAAAAAAGACTGGTTGCCGCGGGATATAAGTGCGTACACACAGCCTAATGCATGCACGGCCAGGCACACATTTAAACATACACACACACACACACACACACACACACACACACACACACACACACACACATACCTTGCAATGGACTCGTTTGCTTGCAAAGCCGACACAGAGGAGTCAACCAGTTCCTTTTTCATGTAAATGTCTGTGGAAAACAGTCAAACAATGTAAATTATTGTTTTGTTATGTTACATTCCTCAGTAATACACCAGTAACCAAATCCAAATCAGCATGAGAAAGGGAAAAAATAAGAAAAAAACCTCTGTTATCATCAGAGCCGAAGTACACCAGCGCACCAGGAAACAGGTCGGCCTGCAGACAGAGAGACAAAGGAGGAGAAGTAAACAGAAGCAATCAAAAGTGTTTTTTACACGATTCAATCTGCAAAAACATGGACAAATATAAACAAAACCGCCTCCTTTCTACATGCAAAATGATCGCTCCCACCACATCAGCGGCCAGAGTTGAGTTCATTTCTGAAGATGATTCATTGCTCGGGGATCTGAACCAGTCACTCTTTGAAGCAGACCACAAAATGAGCAACAATCAAAACACTTTCACCCCCGAAGCACAACACACCTCTCCGGTGAACGTCTTAATGGTTATAATGGACCATTCGCAGGCAGATATTACCAAGCGTACAATTACAGAGGTAGAAACGCAGACAGGCAGACAGACAGGGCACGCGTCTGTGACTCTAATGGAGAGCAGACAAACAAGAAAGTAGTTTAAGATAAACAGTCTTCTGCTTCTGTTCTCATGAACAAACACTATGGGGAGCATCTGAGCAGAAGTACACAGTTGAGTTGTTTTAATAATTAGTGATGTACTGTTAAAATAGTAAATGGTTAACACAAAGAGTACAGTTAGTAGATCCTAAAATTTGTCTTAAGACTCAAATTTGATAATGTGTATTTTAGGGCTCTAACGAATGACAGTTTGACATTCACAGTCTTAATGAAGTACTGCGCAGCAGGTCTCTTCTGAAGAGATAAAGAGATTAGGCTAAACTAATATTATCCAGTTGTGTCTGCATTATATTGCTTGACTCTTGTGATCAAAACATTAACTATTTTAGAGTCCAAAAGTCCGAATTTATGGAAAGAAAGAGAGAAGTCCTGGGTGGAGCGGGTTAGTGAGTTTGGGCCAATAATGATTATTTCAGATTTGTCACAGTTTAGTTTCAGAAAGTTATTTTGCATCCATGTTTTGATGTCAGTGAGGCAGTTGATGAGTTGGGAGTGGGTGGCTGCAGAAATAGTTTTTGTAGAGAGGTAGAGTTGGGTGTCGTCGGCGTAACCGGAGTTGGTGTTGACGGAGGATCTGTCCAAGTGGGAGGATGTAAATGATGAAAAGCAGGGGACCAAGTACAGAGCCCTGGGGGACGCCGCGAGTGACTGAAGCAGTTGTTGGAAATTAATTGTTTTCTGCCAGAGAGATATGATTTCAGCCAGGAGAGGGCGGTGCCGGTTATGCCAATTAAGGACTGAAGGCGGGTGATGAGGATGGAGTGGTTAATGGTGTCGAAGGCAGCGGTTAGGTCAAGAAGGATGAGGATGAGAGGGATCCAGAGTCAGAAGAGAGGAGAATGTCATTTGTGACCTTGAGTAGAGCAGTTTCAGTACTGTGACGAGCAGGAGCAAATTGGGTTGAAGTTACTTGTCCAAGGACACTTGAACTGGTGTTCCCTAGCTCCCCTGATCTGAGGATCAACGCACTAGCCCACTGCGCCACAGCCACCCCAAGAACAAAGTGTTCAGCTTCAATCCTATAATGTTGGGGTTTCAGAAATAACATTTTAAAATGATATCTACCTGCTTTAAAAAATATCTTTCTGGATGTCCATAGACACTCCACAGAAAATACTTATTCCCATTTCAGCTTGAAGCAATAAAACGTTAGCCTTTGGTTTTCAACTCCTGCCTAATAACATAACAAAATTAACATTAAAGAGCTACAGGTAATACATTCTGCTGGCATCATTTTTTCTTTCAGATAAAAACCAACAGTTACCGACGAGAAATGAGAAGCAGCTTTTGTTGCTCTGAAATCTAAATAAAACAGAAAACACTTTGAACTTAATGGTAGATCTGCTACTTTCATCATTGATAGCTGCATGTGAGCATCGTGTGCCACGCAAGAACAACATTTTTTACAGCTGTGGCAACAATAACTAAGGGAGGCTTTCCAAAGACAGACTGCTCGTCATCTGCAGGGAAACCGTTTCCATGTAGCTCAGCCCATAACTGTTTCACATAAAAAGAGAAGAAAGCATGTCTGTTGCTGGGATTAGTTGGGTTGACCCTCTACTACAACCTGTCTCACACACACTGTTTGTCTCTCTCTCTCTGCCCCCCCCATCACTATCTGGTGGCTAAATTGGGACGCTCTGGCCTAATTGCTATTATGGCAGCGCTGTGAGCAGGAAACAATGTGTTACAGTGAAACAACACACATTCCTGCCATCCTGCTCCCCTGGCAGCACCACTTCCACTGAGACAGGGCGACGGGACAAGACCTGTGTGTGTGTGTGTGTGTGTGTGTGTGTGTGTGTGTGTGTGTGTGTGTGTGTGTGTGTGTGTAAAAACATAAGAGAGAGAGCGAGGAATGGAGGCAGGCAGAACGGATCCTGATGGAAGACAGAGGGAGAGACGGATGAGGGAGGGGACGCCTGGTATCAAAGGGCTTCTGGGTTGGGAAACATTCCTTTCCTGACATGACACAAAGTGATTAAAGTATTTGTGTGTGTGTGTGTGTGTGTGTGTGTGTGTGTGTGTGTGTGTGTGTGTGAGACATATGCTCTCATGTCTATGCTATACAACAACAAAAAGGATTAAAGATCCCGTGTGTGTATGTCAAAGACTGATGTATAGAAACGGAGACAGACTGTGTGTGTGTGTGTGTGTGTGTGTGTGTGAGAGACATATGTGCTCATGTCTTTGCGACATGACAAAAAAAGATGAAAGATTCTTCGTGTGTGTGTACCAATGATTGATGTATAGACAGAGAAACGGAGAGAGACTGTGTGTGTCTGTGTGTGTGATGACACCAAGGGGATTAAAGATTTTGTTTTTGAGCACTGTAACGCTTTTAAGTCCCTAATGGATAGAGACAAGAGAAGGAGGGGGGGGGGGGGGGGGGACGAGTATCAAGGGATGGTTAGGGTTAGGAGAGCGGGACAACAGTGTTGGTGGGTGAGGGGGGAGAAAAGAGACAAATTTGGAGTTGGGGTACAGCAGAGGGACGTGTGGTGATGATCAGACGGGGTGAGTTCAGGAAGGGAAGCAAAGAGGAGAAAACAAAGAGAGACGGGCAACTTCAATCAGAATCAGAGAGATCAAAAAGGGCTCACACACACACACACTTCAAAGTGTGCTTTTGAGGATCTTTATCTGTTGTAGCAGTCCCTCTGAAGTGCTACTACTTGCTCACCATCCCAACACGATACCATTTCTCACAAATCTCTCTTCCTCCCCTTCGGCCCTTCACTTCGTCTACTTAAGATTGAGTGAAAGTGTCAGAGGAAAATAAAAAACAGGAGGCACTGATGATGAAAATGTTCTAAAATAATACATTATAAAATAGATAAAAAGGAGAGTCCGTGAGGGCATCTGAATATAAATTGATGAACTGTACAAGAGGACATATTTTTGTTTCTTACTTGTATTTCGCTCTCTTTTAGTGTGGAAATAGCTCTGCATTTCTGTGTGTGTGCGCGTGTGCGTGTGCGTGTGCGTGTGCGTGCGTGTCAAGATCAAAGCGAGGCCTGTATTAACCCCATGTGCCAGTCTGGGAAAAATCAAGCCCAGCTGGGGTCAAGGACAGTGGAGAGGGGGAGAACAAGTGTGAGAGAGTGTGGGGGGGAGAACGGGAATGTGGTGAGGCTTTGAAGAGGAGAGAGGGACCAGCCGATACATTTTTACAGTCGGGGTGTGTGTGTGTGTGTGTGTGTGTGTGTGTGTGTGTGTGTGTGTGTGTGTGTGTGTGTGTGTGAGTTTTGTAGTTGTTTTCTGCAGTTTGACTGTGATGTGGTTTGTTTGAGTCTAATTGCACTGTTTATTGTTTTGGTTTAAAGAAAGTGTTGCGTAAAGACTTAAACGATGTGTTTGAGGCATCTTACCTGAAACAGAGTCGCTGAGGGGTCGTCCAGGATGGTTTTTGGGGGGGTTATGACTGACAGAAAGCAAAAGACAAAAAGGCAGACATTAGAGGAAAGTACGAACAGCTATTGTGTGAAAACATGTCAACATTGTCATTCACCAAAATAAATCCAGTGTCAATGTGACCTTCCCATGCCACCGTTTGTACTGTGCTTTTGTGTTATTGTAACACATGTAGAAAGAAAATGGTGTTGTATATTACGACTTGAATCTCAATAATTACTGAGTGTTTTTCTCAGGATATCTTTTGATTTGATGATGTTGTTATAAATTAGTGGGAAATATAATGCATTTAGGGGTCAGTCTTAATTTAGGGGTACATATTCCAGCCCTTAACTTTCAAATTTCTGTAACACTTTTAAAAGTTTGCTGACCAATACCACCGATTGAGGGTATGAACTTCCTCACAAGAATATCCATTGTGAAAGGGGCCGTATTATGCTTTTGATGTTTTTCCACTTGAACGTCATCTAGGTTTTCGTGCATGTAAATGGTCTGCAAAGGCTAAAATCCCAAAGTTCCCTCCAGAGGGAGTTTCTCCCCCTCTGCCTGAAACGCCTCCATTGGACTCCTTTGTTTACTTCCACCACATAATGACATCACTATGTAACACTCGCGCTCCTATAGGCTAGCGTTCCAACACATTGTATGTGATAGGATAAGAGGTGGGAAATCGCTAAGCAGTTGACCAATCACAACAGAGCCGGCCAGCTAACCAATCAGAGCACACTGGGCTCTGGTTTCAGACAGAGGGTGAAAAGAGGTGCTGCAGCACAGGCAGTATGAGAAGAATAGAGACTTTTTGAACATTAAAGCATGGAGACATGTCACAGTAGAGGCACAACATACAAATATGAACCTGAAAATGAGCATAATATGTCCTCTTTAAATGACACTTACACAGGTAGAAGCTGAGCTCAGGATCCTCCAGGTGACTGCTCACAAACTGCCTCACAGCACCAACTGGGCAAAAACACAAACACAGAAACAAATCAACGAGCTGATCCATCTGCACCTCGTTCAGGTAATGTGTGTTTTTCCCATGGAATTCCCCTGGGATTTATTGTTCTGCTGCTTGTCGTGTTGCTGTTGGGGATGAGGTGCATCTAATCCTTGGAATTACAGACCTGTCTCATTATTTCTGTCTCTGTCACTCTGGTGTGGCTACAGTAATACATGTGGTGAGAGAGCTTTAACATTGCAGCCATACCTGTGGCTAGCCAGCTGAAATGAACACTGCAAACACACACGCACACACACCTGTCTCCAGTGGCCTGAAGAAACCTTGTAGAACATGTCTGTCTGGAAACTGGACCCTCAGGACCACCTGGAGACAAACAGAGGTATTCAAATGTTGTATATTTCATGCAAACACGCACATTTAAAAGCAGGATTGTTATTCTGTGTCTGTCACTTGTGCTCACTTTGGGATGTCGTTCCATCTTCTCTCTCATCTGTGATTCTCTCAGAGCTCTAGTCATCAGCGGAGCCTCCTCCAGGTGTCTCCTGCAGGAAGGATGGAGAAAGAGTTGTAATGAAACAAGCGTGGAAATAAAAAAGGCCCACTGTGGAATCAACAAGATGGGTAGAAAAATGGTTCATCTTTTACCCGTATTCTTGTGTGGCCGTGTATGTGTGTGTGCGTGACAGGCAGAGACGAATTGCTGTGGTGGGTTTAATTCCCCCTTTGGTACTGTAATTGCAGTCATTGACACGGTGGTAGCGCAGCCATGAGGCAGCCAGCTAAGTCAATGTAGACGGAGATGAAAGGACGTACGCGCTGAGGTCTCAATCTGACGGTGTTTGGTCGAGGGCTGAAGGATAAACACAAAACAGCCTTCCTAATTGCTCCCTGTGTGCCATATTTAGAAGCTGTTGTAGAGTGCGTGGTGTCTTATAAATGAGAAAATGTTTGCAAAACACACGGTGTCTCAGCAGCTGTGGTGTGCTGCGGCCACATCGTGTCTGCATCTGTTTCGAAGAAGCGCTCATAAATAAATAAAAACTTCAAACTCATAATAATAAAAAAAGAAAAACTTCAAAAACGCACGCAGCGATGCCCTGCATTCTCCCTGCCTGTGGCCTCTCCTCATTGCCATGGTATTTTGCAATTATACATCGACAAAACACCACAGGACCAAATGCCAAACTGACTAATTATCCGTTACAAACACATCTGATCCAGACGCGTTTCTGCAGCAACAAGGTATTTATACCAAATATCACACACCATCCTCTGACCCAAAGCCACCCAAACGACTTCCTCCTCCCACCTCTGGCTCTTCAGCTGGGCGAAGCGCTTGCGCACATCATCCATCGTCACCTCGAAGAACTCGTCGGGCAGATCCCTGTGGTCGGAGTGACGGGACACGGCGTCCAGGTGGTAGATGAGGAGCTCCCTCTCTGCGGGCTGCAGAAAGGGAGGGAGCGAGTGAAAGGATGGAGACATGATAACACTGATGTTCATCTAAAGAAAGGGTTTTCAAACTGTGAGGCAATTGCTGTATGAAGGGTTAGGGCTCGAAAGACAATAGAAAGTAATGTTTCTGTTAATAAACCCTTTCACAGTTACATAATCATATTGTGTGGAAAGCCTTTTTTTAAGTAAACAGCTTTAAAAAGGCAAGACATCATGAAGTTCTGACCGGAAATCATTGTGTCTTACCGCAGAGAACTCCCCTAGATCCATGTCCTCGTCTGGCTGATTTGCAGTGGATTGACCCTGGTAAAGGAAGACAAATGGCTCATAGTTATACTCAAATACTTGTTGTATTGTTTGTCCTGTTTTGCTTACAGGTTAAAAACATACATTTATTCTCAATTACAATGTTGTGCTTTTTGCTTGTCCATCCACTTTGAATGGAGATATATAATCCCTCCACCTGGTCCTGGGTCTGACCCTCAGTCTACTCCCACCTGGTCGTGCCTGGACCACCACCCTAGGGAAGGGGCCAGGTGGCCTCCTAACTAGGGGCCCGTACCACCTCAACTGGCTGAAGGAGCAGCGGCTCTACTCCAAGTGTCTCCTGGATGACTGAACTTCTCACCTTATCCCTAAGGGAGATTCCAGCGACCGTACGGAGGAAACCCATTTCAGCCGTTTGTATTCTTATTTACTTGTACCAAAACAGAAAGTATATACCAATGGGAGAGCTTAGATCAAAGTAAAGTAGGCATGAATCCTGCTGCTACTTAACTAGAAGGCTGTATGGCAGACAGAGGTTCAAACCAACTAGATACATTGGATCAAAATAACATTTTTACAAAGTTCTGTAGTTCTTTTTGGAGCTTTCAGTCACTTTTAAGCTAACATGGAAAAGAAGTCCAGAGAGTACTCATATTTAAACAATTCCGTTATAAGGTGTAACTGCGGTAAACATTTTAAGATTGTTCCCTACAAAATCATAATCTCAAAATGCAAACCTAACCTAAAATATATATTTAATACACCTTCATTAAGATATCAGTACTCATATGGCTCACCTTGATGCTCGAACCGTGGCTGCTTTTTAGTTTCTTGGCTTTAGGTGAATCAACGGCTATAGTCAGAGCTGAGGATGATGATGAAGATAGCGGGCGTCCCACTGCGCCCCCCTGGGGACCCCCGAGGCGCTGCCCGCCTCCAGTGAAGGGAATGAAAGGAGCCAAGGGAGCAGCGAACGAGGAGGAGGAAGAAGAAGAAGATGGGTGAGAGTTCAGTCCTGAAGGCCCCGCTTCCTCGCCGTCCTCCTCTGGCGTTACTCTCTCCACAGGAGGGACCTTTGGCCGAACTGCATCCTGGGAGATTGGAACTTGCTCCTTCTGAACATGAAGTGACCTGCTTGGGGCAGAGGCGGGAGTTGGAGCAACAATTGGCTGCTGGGGGGTTACATGTTTAATTGGCATCTCTGTTTTGGACATCTCTGGAGGTGACGGAGCAGGATCTGGCAGAGATGATTGGCTAGGTGTGGTTTTCTTGGCAACAAGCATGGTTGGCATAGCAGCCGCTTCAGTGGCTTCCCCAGTATCTCCCTCTGCTTTGTTCTTCTTGAGTAAAAACCTGAAGCAGAAAAAGGGAAAAAATGGCTTTATTGTAACGTGTTACGTGTCACATTAATGTTGTTTCTGCACAGCATGCCGTTTCTTCAGCATCAGCGTACCTGACAATGGCATTTCCTCCCGTCAGACCCAGAGACCTCAGAGTGGTCTTCTTCAGCGCTTCTTCCCCACTCACCTGCACACAGACACAACAGCAGCTTTGTTATCATAAAAGCCCCTTTCCTTTAAAATAGGGAGACTTAAAAGGTTCCCTATCATACTCTTTTTCATCAACATATTATAGTTCTCAGATATATAAATAAAAAAACATGTCTCTGAAGTGTTTGGCTCGATATACCAAACAGATCATGCATTGTAGCATCCCATAAACCCCTCTGTTTCAGCCCTGTTTCAAAAGTTTGTTACTTTAGATGAAAATAAGGAGCCCCTCCCCACGCCCCTCTGAGAGATATTTGGTTAAAGAAAACACAATGGTGCTCTAGGAGGAGATTCAGGTGATAAGGTGTGGGGGGGGAGGTTACCTTGGTTGGTTGTTGGCTAATGGTTACACAAGCCAAATAAACGTTATGACATCATAAAGTGGCCAAAATCTGATCAGCTCATTTTCAGACAGGTTTTTATATAAATGGATCAGGACAAAAAGAGAGAGAATATTTTTTCCTGAAACTTTCAGAATCTCTTTACACAGAGGGGACACATGTTTATGCATTAAAGACATGAAAAAGTGGATATATAATAAATGTTACATAATAGGTGACCTTTAAAATAACATTGCCTACCTCGTCTCTCATGTAGACGCACACGGGGGTGGATTCTGTCTCCGAAACACTGGATTTGGAAAGTGATGATGATAGGAGAAAACAGAGATTGAAATGATGGCCGACTGATTTTTATTTGCTTCAACAGTGACAAAACAAAACACAGAAGTGACTTTCCCTTGTTCAGGGAAATCAGCCCTGTGATTTTACAATAAAACCTCACGCGATGCGGGGAACTCTGTCTGCAGCATGTGTAAACCATGTGTGCACAATCCCGTGTAGAAACTAATTGAACCATAAATGTTTTACTATTGTTCTCCTCAGTTCTGAAAAGCATTCCCCTCTGCTTCGCAACAGTCACAGAGCTTTTTTTTACGCTGATGTGGAGCTAATATGCATTTCATGGAAGCGTAAATTCCCTGGAAAAGGATCAGGATACGGAGTGATGTCATTTAATAGAGATGAGATGAGGGCTGGATGGATGCGTGAGCACCTGGGACCGCACAGCTGGAACTACTGAACAACAGCTGTGTGTGTGTGTGTGTGTGTGTGTGTGTGTGGTAATGTGTGGGAAAGTTTAAACTTCAGTCGAGGAATGGTGAAAGATGTTATCTAACACCGTGCTGCTGGCCTCTGTTCATTCCAACACAATGATCACCTTTACTTTCCAGCCTTGAGAAAAGTCAAACACATATACACGTTGTCCATACTTGCGAGGACCAACCCAAGCACCTTATTAGAGCTGTGCCGATATGACAATATATAAATATATATATAATTTAAAGGGGACCTATCATGCAAAATGCACTTTTGTACGTCTTTTATACATGAATATGTGTCCCCGGTGTTCCAGGGAACTCACCAAGTGTCAGAAAACACAACCCTCTCTTTTCCTCCATACCCAAATCTCTTAAAACGGGGCTGCAACGGATCTGATACAGACTGATCCAGATTTGAACATTTCTCTGACGTCAGGACGGAGGAGCTGACCTATCAGGGGAATGAGAGGTTGCCGTGGCATGGTAACAGCATGGTAACAGCATGGTAACACGACGCTCGTAACTCGGCCCCCTCCTTTGCAGGGGGGCGTGGTCAGCTGCAGCGCATGCAAAGACAGGGTGGAGGAAAGCAAAATAGAGCGAAATGAGGCATGGCTAAAATGCATGATCTGTTTGGTATTTTGAAAAAGAAAACGTATAAATATACCTTATATAGGTATGGCCCTACAATATATTATTCAAATATAGCATGATAGGTCCACTTTAAGTTATCTAACCAACTTCTATAAAAGGAACTGTTCCTCGGTTATGCATTACCAGTGTCATGACTAATATTGTTTTGAATTACAGCATCTTTCATTTGGACAAATTCATTTTTTAATTGGTATGGACAGAACGATTACATGCTATCATCTCTTTACACATATATTGAATAGAGTTGCAGAAAAGGAGGAAATATTACAGGTGCCTCTGATTCTTAAGACAAAGTCTTTTTAGTTAGGGTCCTGGTTGAGTCGGTGTTGTTGGTGGTTCTATAAAAGGTTTACAGTTGAAGTTACTAGAATATACTGGTGAACATTACATGATCGTCCTTTGTTAAGACCACCTTTATTAATCCCTGAGGAGAAATTCAGTTCTTCACCCAGGTTGTATTTCACCATTACACAAGTAGGCCTGAAATACACACACACGCAAACAGGACCTATAGACATGCACTAATGAAGAGGTGTCAGAGCGAAGGGGCTGCGAGTGTTCCGGCACCCGGGAGCAGCTGGGGACTCGATGCCTTGCTCAAGGACATCTTAGCGGTGCCCAGGAGGCAAACTGGCAGCTACCACTCCACACTCTGTATTTTGGTCCAGTCGGGTCTTGAACCAGCAAGCCTTTAGTTCCTAGGCCAAGTCCCTTTAGAATAAGCTAATGTTGCCACTTTTAAATTACATTAAAGATATTATTTAAAGAAACTTTTCAAACTGTCATTAAAACATCTGGAAAATGCTTGACAACCACGAGGCCCTCCAACTTTGCAACGTTAACCTCTGTGTTTAACCCAAACTTAATTCTAACCTAAACCCTACATTCTCAACCATGTGTAGAAGTTAGAAATGGGAGAAATATCCTCACAGATATAGACATAAAACAGCACACACACACACACACACACACACACCTGATCTGGGGGAAATGTGTGAGCAGTTCCCACAGAGTCTGTCCGCAGGAGAAGGAACTCTGGTGTCGAGAGCCGTCCTCCATCTGGAGCGCTATCCGCACCTGAAGGCACACACAATTGTAGTTTAAACATATTTCAAAAACCAATAACACTTAACACACGAACCAGTGTCCACGGTCTGTCCAAACATGAGCACTTGTGTCTCTATGTTTGGCAGTCTTTGCATGTATTATGATAAGAGATCATGATTAAAGACCCTTACTGAACTTGCTTGGAAGAAAAATGACAGATAAAACTTGTTTTTTTCCTAATTAAATACTAGAACACTTTTAAATTAAACCATTTAAATAAAGAAAGAATTGTAATAAAAAAAGGGAGCGGTGGCACTAAAACTAAAGATGCATATTAAACACTTTCAAGAGTCTCACTGACCGTGCACTTTTATTTGACTTTAAACAATGAAATACAATTTATATATAATATATAATATATTAAAGTGACAACATGTTACCTTAATTGCAGGATGGAAATTCATTATATTATGTATAAAAATCCTCCTAGGTGGTCATTTGCAGGTTCTTGGCTCTACAGTCTTGAGCTATTTTGTAGGAAGTGGATTCTTTGATAATAGAACTTGATTAAGCTGCACATGTGGGCCGACCTCAGTGTGGAAATGAGTAACACCAGGCACGAGTGCGAGTCTCTTGTTGTTTTTTCTCTCTCTGAGTCACTCTACAAGTTATTTATGTTTACACAACAACCATGTTGTCCAGCACAAGGCACACGCTGCACATCGGCACACCGGGAGAGATGAAAGAGTTCTTTGGCTGTCAGCGTCAGCCAACAGCAAGCTCTCTCACACACCAGTCTGGCTTAGGGTGGGAGAGCCTGTGTGTGTGCACGTGTGGTATGAGTATATACAATCTGTGAGGTATCAACAGTCAACGATCCATCAAATGAACAAGAACAACAGATCAAACCCAGCGGTGATTTTACTGCTTAGATTACGATGCCATGATGTCATAGGAAACTACAGCTCAGCTAGAACAAAGTGTTTTTTCTGTTGTTTTTGGACACAGATCAGAGTGAAAGCAGGAACTCAGGCAGGGATTAAAAAAATGTCTAGTAACTGCGAACAAAAACCAACAGCTGACGTCAATACCAAATAAAAAAAACTGAATATTGCAAGGCTTAACTTTAAATATTTATGGGTGGACAAAATAATCAATGTGATACAAATACTAATACTCTGGCAATAGCATCATACTTTTCTTATGTTTAATCCTTATTTCTCATTCTGTGATATGGAAAGGACATTCAAATAAAAAATAAAAATAAATCAATGAGTGGCAAAATCAACTAAAAATATGTTTCCATACAGGGAAAAAGGGGTCGCTGAAAGACTTGATAAAATGATGTGAATGTAATGCTATGGCATTCACAGTCATGAGATATTCATGTAAGTGAACACCTATACATGTAGCAGGTCTTGGCCAACATGTTGTGACGGACAGTGTTCTGTTGATATTATGCATCATACGCACCTGAGTACGCGGTTAAACAAAGGATCACTGTCGATATTTACAATAAAGATCTCACGTTATTTTTTGCATCATAATTTACATTTTCAGTCTTATGTTTTTGCATACACTGCTTACATTTATGCACTGGAGATGTAAGGTTATGTTTAATATATTTAGCAAATGTTTAAATATGTTGTTTTTTTTAACTAGAAGAATAGAGTTTAGTTTACTAACATTTAAAGGCACATTGGTTTTATGCTAACATAACATTCTTATTGTTTGCAACTTTATGTTCTTGAGAAAAAAATGGTATATCTAATTATTAGCATAATAGATAAAGAATATCATAAAACTAACCTGGCTGTCGGCTACCGCCTGTTTCCGTGTATCTGCCACCATTTCCAGCTTTGCATTGTTGGGCAGGTTGGCAAACCTCCATGGCAGCGTGAGGTCAACAGCAGTCCTCTGAAACCTGTCAAAAGTTGATGACAAGGCAACATTACATTTGAGAAAAATATCTCTCCTCCTGTCATTCAAAATTGAGAAAAGATAATATGACCCCTTAATGAATTTAAATGATTTACATCAACTGGAGACAGCTTTATAGATTACATATATTTACCTGCCCTGAGGAAATTAAATAAAAGAGTTTATATGGTAGCCACACAACTATGGAAGTTATTGTAATTTGTTTTTTCTTCTCTATGGGTCACAGTCATTGATTGAATTTAACTCTACGGCTCAAAAACTCAGCTAAATAAATTGGGAGGTACCACTCCTGCTTCGAATTTAATAACTGGTTAGACATCAGCCATTACTGTTCACTACTGTTAATCTCACACTAAACATAGCAAAACCAATTCTGTACACACATAGGATTTCATTACGTATCAAAGTATAATTCGATGCTCAAGGCAAAAAGGGAAATACCAGGATATTAGAGCTAACATTAATTTAGCCTTATTATCAGTACTGACAGCTAGCATCATCCAAACTGATACTCACTTTAAACCATGATCGTCGGGGTTAAATCCGTGCTTTTTGCAGACATCCTCCAGCACCTGGGGCGGACAAATATAAAGTTAGTAAAATAGTTACCACTTAATAATCAAAATAGTTTGATTTCATCCGCACGAACACAGAAACTGATCAGTCACTGGCTAACTGCTGTTAGCCAAACGAGCTAACAGGAGGAGAATAGTTCGCTCTCTGGAAACAAAGGATGAGACAAAGCGTCCACGTCAGAAAATATAAACCGAGTTCAAAACACAAGTAACCTGTAATAACGGCGTGTTTGGAGACACTTTGACTGCTTGTCTTCTCCCATTAGGAGTCAGAACCGTCACAGCTGAACTGCTGGCTGCCATTGTTGTGTCGTGACGTCGTAATGTTTATTTGAATAAACTTTATTGACACATAACCGGCAGCGATTCAAGGGTCCATTCACCCACACAAAGACATTTTATATGGGAGTGAATGGATGTTTTTTGTGGTGCTCACAACATTGAAAGTTCATATGTTAAAAAAACAAGTAGATGTTTTTATCTCTTTATATGAAACATTGTATTTAGTTTTTTTAAATGTGTTTTCATAGAAACCATGTTTTACTAAAAAAAATCCCACATAAACCACTATTGTAGATTATGCTAATTTCCAAAGCATTTTTAAATCAAGACAATAAATTACACTTCTTGTATCATTGTTATTTGTAATATATAACACAATAGCCACAAACAGAAATGTGGGTAAATGTTAAATGTAGTCTAATGCTTGCATAAAGTGCAGGTGTACTGCATGATACAATGTGCATTGTTATTCCCATGAAGATCAGATTAGAAAAAAACAAGTTTAAATAATTAAATTAATTATGGTAAATTACATGCAACCAGGTCCAGGGCTTTATGGTTGTGCATGGCCCCCTTTTTGGGACATTTCAATCTCATTGCCATACTTAATTATATTTATTAGACATGTGCCTTTCCTTCTGCAACAATTCAAAGAATCTGCTTTAAAAAAATGTCCATGCTTCCATCTGCCGGGCACAAGGAAAGATGAAAGTGATGTGAATCATATGCTTCAAAACACATGGGAGATTTTTGAGCAAATTGTTAGTAGTATTCTCCACATATTTCGTTGGTATGGTGTACATACACATACACCATATATCAACAGATCGTGGAAGGCAGAGAAAGGCCCCTTTGTAAAGGGAATCACTTGTTATGTTTACTTTTGTATTAGTCACATCCTGTGTCAACATTTTAAAAATATATTCAAGCTGATAAACCCATAATTTCTTTATTTTATTCATTCATTCATTCATTCATTTAGGACAAGCAAAGTTAGTCTCATAGATATGAACACAATTCAAATGTGTTTTGATTGTGAACGAACATGTATTTTGAGTCTGAAATGTGAAAATAGAGGGTTCCGTGTCCATATAACAAGAAGGGGGCTAACAAAAGAACCCCCAACAAAAGGGAACCGTAAAATAAATATATAACATGGAAAAGCTAACTTTCTCCCTGAATCTATGTATGTACAAATGTACTAATAATTGGAGTAAATGGAAAATTCATTTTGATATGTGTAAGAAGACAAGGATGTATGTGTAAGCGCATGTGTACGTGTGTCTAAGTAAATGTGTGTCTGTGCATTTATACATAAGCACAACGGCCCTCTCCAACGAGCATCGAGGATAACAAACTGGATATTGAACAGTTTCAGACTTTTGACTGATATGCACTCTCAATGCTCACTGTACAAGAGGAACTAATATATATTGACACAATATATTGACAGAAACTGATCTGACAGGACGATACAAAAAAGAAATAGAAACAGACTGGAATGAAACAACTCTAAAGCTTGACTCCTTCTCTTTAACTAAACAAACGATACCAAAGTGACTCATTGACCCAATATTTTATTTCTTTTTTCAATGCTTGTCTGTGCTTTTTTTCTTTCCTCTTTTCTATATTATGTAAGAAATCTATAGAAATAAAGTTAAAAAAACAAATGGATGCTTAATACCAAATAAAGCTCACAATTTGTATACAAAACAACATAAACAACATTATTGTTGACCTGACCTTTAATCTAACCTTTTCAAAGCACAATAACCAAAAACAACCTATAGACCATCAAGCTGTCTTCTTTGTACCCTCATGAGAGAAGGATATAGATCCTGCCTGTATACTGACAATCTGTTCCCCATATGGAGAACTACATATACTGTATAGGCAACCATATGCAGTAACGGAAGACCTGCACCAACATATGGAGTATCAAGGCTATTGTCTCTCAGCAATTATCAATTTGGATCAAAGCTGCATGGAATCAGACAAGACAAGACCACATGTGCTGACAACAGATGGAGAGGTGAGGCGGGGTGAGGCGGGGCTTCAGAGGGAATACAACTGACCAACCACTGCAGCAACATCTACAAAGTTCACCTGGGAAAGAGATGGGAGAGAGGGAGAGGTGAATACAGTTCTCCGTTCAGGGGGGAAATTGCCCCCTACTGAATAAACAAACAAACAGTCAGTTTCCTTCCTCACTCAGCAGGCACCAAACATCAAAACTGCCTGTGGATGGTGTGCAAAATCACAAAAGGGCATCTGTGTCTTTCACAACATTGTCCCACTAAGAAGTATTGAATCACTAATTAATCAATGGCAAACAAATGGACTTGTTAAAAACAGGATTTCCTTTCTTGTAAACAGAAATCATTTAATAGCAGTTTGTTTCTGAATATCACTTCAAGATGGATCCTTGGTTTGGTGACCAGATTCAGTAGAAGGGTTGTTGTGACATGAATCACATGACACACTGGTTTATGGATTTCAGAGAGATTATCTCAAAGTATTTCAAATGAAGATGAGGCAAAACAGTACCAAAACAGTAGCCTACTCTTTACACAGAATACACATTTTTGGAATAATATACAGCATGTCATATAATAAATACATTAACCAGTTACTGGTAAAGTTGAACATAACTTTAATTACTTGTTATACTGCCATGTATCTTCCATTATAGCACATCACAAACAAGTTGTTCCCAAATTCAAGGAAGTTGGGATTTTCATTTTAATCAATAACTGTTGTGATTAATTAAAATGAAGGTTTGAACATGTGAAGAACTGGAAACGTGTTTGTGTAGACTGTATATTTAAAGTAGGCTATGTACCCTGTTGGTGTGGTGTGACCCTCAGCAGTTCTCTCCATATTCTATCACTTCAGAGGCCGCGCAGTGATACGATGACACAACATCAAAGAGACCGACCGAAAGGACGACGGGGGCGTGCCAGGCACCCGCGCGCTCTTGGTGTGAGACCTGTGTGAGACCGACGCCCCGAGAGGAGCATCAGCCAACGATAATACCGATTGGCCCGCGAGATGAGAAGGAAGGAGGGGGCGAGACTTCAAATACATTTCCACTCAGTCTGCAGCTCTCCAGGACCTGAACCAGGAGTCAACAGGTCGGCAGTGTAAAGCGGCTGAATTCATTGACTTCCACGAGGGTTAAGCTGTTTTTGCCGTCTCCATGTGTTTTTAGGATTTTTTAAATGTGGGGACAGCACTTGCATTTGAGGTTAATGTTAAAACCAGCTCTCCATCTGTGAAGGCACCATGGATAACCTGCGTTCACTCTGCTCACCTTTCAATATTGACAACTTTCAACATGTCTCCGTGTGCTTTCAAAGAACTTTCAACTCATCTAACGACTCTTAGGATATGCTGTGTTTTGCAGAAGTCTCTTGCTCACATTTGAGAGGCATTTTCCAGTAATAGTTAGACATGCGGAGCCAAGGTGTGTCCTGCCTGCTGCTGCTCTTCATCCATGTGAGCGCACCGGCGGAGGCGAGGAAAGTACCCGGGGGTAGGGCGCAACACCGGCGGGTGCAGCAGCAGCAGCAGCCCCCGGTGCAGAGGGAGCGTGTGGAGGGGACAGAGAGCTTCCCGTTAGACTTCACAGCCGTGGAGGGCAACATGGACAACTTCATGGTGCAGATAAAGAACTTAGCGCAGTCACTGTACCCGTGCTCTGCGCAGAAGCTGGACCAAGACATGAAGTTGAACTTTTTGAAAAATGATTCTGTGACTTGTAATGACGGGTCAGCAGCAGGGTAAGTGAGTGGAAAATGCGTGTAATCTTTGTCAATAACTCACATGACACTGAAAGACCTGTTGGATATGTTGAAACTTTTCTCCAAACATCCACTTTGTGGCAGTTTAGTCCTCCACTGCCCTTCAGTCCCTCGTCTCTCCGGATGTGACCAAATTGGATCAAAGGACCAGATTTGGGGGGTGGGGGGGGGGGGGGGGGGGGGGGGGAGAACAAACGCTAGAGATTATTTAAATGTAGTCAGAGGTATAAAGGATAATGAGTCCTAATGTTACAATGTTATGTATCAATAAAGATGAAACTATAGGCTGATAAGACAGCAATTTACAATAACAGGTGTATAATCCTATAACCGCACTCTTGGTTGCAGAGTAAACCACAGACAGACTCCAAAGATTGACTGCAGCTTTGACTAATTTGTCCCTTAAATTAAGATGAATAGGTTTATCTTCAGAAGGCTCACATGCCTCCACATCTGTATCACCACTGGATCACAGCAAGATCTCAGTTTAAGATCAAGACCAAGAGTCGTGCCAAGCATCCCACAGTCATACTGCATTATTGTGATTAAGGGATTTTGTGTGACATGAAAGATCTTCAAAGTAATAGAAATATGTATTGCTTCTATGCTCATATAAACCTCAGTCCTTTTGACGGTATGGACTAAAGGGATCACGTGCATGTTGCAGGAGTAGGCTCAATGACTCCTGTATCACAGCACCTTACAGGATTTTGGAGAGTAAATATTACAGTTTGTTCGGTACAGAAGCTATTGGAAGCAAATGTGGGAAAAGGATATGGTGATACAGTTAATAATAAGTTATACATTGGTTTTTTTATTCTGTGAAATTACAAAAGAAAAGAAGAAAAAGTTCAACTGGGAAACAGGTGGTAAAAGATTTCTGTCAGTTGATGTATGTAAGTACCATCTTGTGGCCAAAATGAGTATTACAACAACAAAGAAACCTGTTTTCAAAGTTGAAAAATTAAGGAATTTAGAAAGATTATCCTAACAAAATCTGTTTTTTTTAATAGGAGAAAAAAACGTTCAGATCACAATTCTTTCCTCAATTGCTTCTCAGACAGTATTTTAAGTACTTTCCTGTAGTGTTATATAGGTATTTGTGCGTGTAAATGTTTGACCAATCACAACAGAGCTGGCCAGCTAACCAATCAGAGCAGACTGGGCTCTGGTTTCAGACAGAGGGTGAAAAGAGGTGCTGCAGCACAGGCAGCATGAGAAAATAAAAGAGATTTTTGAACATTAAAGCATGGAGACATGTC